CCATATGTTTGTCTTTACGTGTAGCTATCGTGCATTTAAAGTTTGGCTGTCGACCAAATTAATTGGGTGTCATTGGATAACAACGCTGACGTGTATAATTAAGGAAGCCACCTCAAGTGATTAAATCTTTGATCGTCTCCATAAAATATCGCAATTTTATAGAACAATAAATCCGCCTTCTGATTTCGGTATTTTATTTATTTGTTTTTTGCATTTGAAAAACGTCTTTTATAAGTAAAAAGAGCATAATTTAATTGACTTATACCTTAACATTTATTATTTTAAAATGTTAAATCCTTACTAAAATAAAATAAATAAATAAAAAGCACCTACAGATCATAAATCATCACATCATCATCATATCTGCCTTTAACTGTCCACTGCTGAACATAAACTTCCCCTTTAGGGGGTTTTGCCAGTAGTTGCCACACTTGGCAGGCAGATTGGCAACCGCAGTTACTCTGAAGATATTTTAAGTGGAACGCTGCTACCCATCTCTCGCCCACCCTTAGTCGCCTCTTACGACACCCACGGGAAAGGAAGGGGTGGCCTATTCTATGCTGAGTCCACACGGAGAATTTAAAAAATGATAAAATGAATTTGTATATCTCTTAACCTCTTAAAGAAATACTAAAATTAATATACATACACGTACTATATGGGGTGGAGAAGGACATAGGTTACTTTTTATTCTATGCATTATACATATCTCGATTACACGGACAAGATTGTAAATAAAAGTTAGTTTTTTTGAAATTTCAAATAATATTGGTATATTATTTATCAATTCGCTAGTTTAACTCGTATTTTGTTTAGTTATTAAAGTTATTTATAGATATTATAAATAATAAATTGATTACAGTTCAGTTTACAGCTAAATTTATCTATAATTTTTAAATGTATAAGAAGACCTATTTTGGCACTAAACAATGAATGGCTGAAACAAATTATGAATTACTGAGTACTCAATATCAAGGTAAACACACAGATTACAAAGTATTATTATATATATAAAGTATAATACTCCTCAGCATTACTCTATTACCGACAGACTGTCATCAACTATCGATGACACGTGTATTTATTTATTTCTTATCGATAACGATATTCTATAAATACAATGATAACATAAGGTGAGCTGCGGAAAGGGATTATTAGTAATAAAGCTAGCTTTTATTGGCAACAACATATTATATCAAGTCGACCTCCACGCGGTTCTCTCTGGAAACATTTGGGGTTAATTTTTTTATGGAAATCGTCACGATGAGCTAACTGACCTGCTTTTATTCTCACCTGTCATCTCTTATTGGCGCTCCACCAGCGTATACCAATAACGCAGGTAGGATTACTATTCCATTTTCATCTATTTAAAATATAAAAGAGAGCTACTTTTTGCTATACTCTGTTTTGCTACTTCAGTATTGTGAGAAAAATTATAATTTATGGCACAAAATATTTCTAGTAAAAATGTTTTGTTTCCTATGATGATGAGAATTGGGTTAAGTGCCGAAACCGTTTACGTTCCTGCTATATTTATAGAATTACGTCGTGGGATTTCTTTTGATTTTATGTGGACAAGGCAGTTGCTAAATTTAAAACACTAAAATCAATGGCCGATTTTTGAAATACATACAAATTTATAAGCAATGATTACCAACTCACTATAAAAATACTTAGTAAATATATATAAAGTAAATATAAAGAAACTCTAAACAATTTATTTAATGAATTTCCAAAAAAATGTATAGATCATCTGTTGTGGAATAAAGCAATCGCACACTGCCATTTAAGTCTATTATATAAGTTTATTGTAAACACTTTATAATTATTTATAAATTATAATAAAATAGCCATCTACTAAAATTATTACATTCTAGGAATAGGGTTCCTGTAATAAATAAATAAATTAAATATAAAAGAAATTGAGGATTTTTGTGAATATTTACATGAATAGTAAAAGCTAATGGCACTTTCGAAGAACTGAAGTGCATAATAAAAACGAAGGTAGGTACTACCGGTTGTTAACAAAAGGTCAAAGCTTTTATTCGATTCTTTTGTTCCGTTACTATTGACCCAGGACGTCAGTCAGCATTCAATGTTTAATTAAACTTTACACTCTCCAATACGTCAAGCTAATAACTGCAGATAACTAAGTAGATTATATGAATGAGTACCTACTTGTTATTTTTCATTATCACGTTAATTATATACAAACAGAGAGGGTAGTAATTCCTTGCGTGAAATAGCCTAGTGAATGCTTTAATTAAGCACAATCTGCTAAAAGCAGCTAAAATTTAATATCTCCTACTAAGTTTTAGTGATGAAATTGCAGAGAAATAGAGTGTCACATTATTCGACTCAAGTATTAAGTAGGTATGTCATTCTGTAAATTCAGGAAATTATATTAAATCTACATGGTGTTTTCTTGACCATAAATCATCTACAATGAAAAGATAACAGACCAAAAAATTATCGATAATGATAAAATCGCCGGATTAGATATATTGAAGACTAGTCTTATAAATATAACAAGTTCTATAAATCAAAGTACAGAAAGAGGAACCCCGGCAGTCCTTAATCACATAGAAATAATAGGAAAGTTGTCACTTAAAATTGTTAAGATTGCGTTGATAGTGGAAGCATAATCTCATATAAAGGAAAAGTAAGATATTTATCATACAACAGTATCATAATTATATTAATTGTGTAATTAAAACTTTGTTCACAAGGACAATCAGAGACGTAAGAGATCATCTAGATTAGACAAAAGATAAATTGCCCTCAAGCATTTTGGATTTAGATTTTTCTAAAGATACTTTTTAACGACATACTGATGTCGTTCAATAAATTGAATTAAACATTTTAACAAATATTTATGTAGAAATCTGAGGCTATATGTTTTTACTACACGTCCACAATGGCGTCGGTCGGCTACAGATTTTATGATCTTTATTTTATAAATTATCAACTCTACGCCTTTGATTTTAAGTTGAAAGTATCATACAGAAAGAAGCAACATAGCTAGTTTTTGTGTATCCTTGTCAAGAAAATGCATTTTGTTACAACCACATGAAGTTTTACAGCTGCTTCGTATTCACATTTTTTGTGGTTGTAACTCATTTCCTATGCAGTGGAAGCTGTCAATTAAGTAACAAAATTGATGATGTCATTTAATATTTTTCCACATCTTAATTTATATTTAATTTGGATAATTTTTAATAAAACTATAAAGCTACGAAAAGACCATTTCTAATAATTTCCCACAAAAATTGTTCGAATCATATTCTCCATGTGTAGAATATATATAGGCATCTACATTTGTTTGTGTAAACCAATAAAATATAAGATCGATATAATATAATGCACAAAAGACAATCTTTAATAATTTATCTCTATGAAGTTCAAAGCGACAATATTAAGGTGAGTTTATAAAGTGAGATTATTTGTCACTTTCCCTCTCTTAGTGTATTTATTATCATTAAATGTGGCATGTATATAACTACTTACTCAGTATTTGTTTGTATTTAATATTCCGATCAATCAGTATATACCGGTCATGTAAACAGTCGCAGGCACAGCTAGTGTGAATATTTTTAAAAACGCTATGAAGGTAACATTTAATATTCAACATTCTGTTTATTATGATATATCTATTTTGAGAGTGCCATATCTAAGCTTCTAGCATGGTTAGCGTGCGCATCCCGTGCCGTGAGCCATGTTTAGTCTCTCCCAACTACCACACCACCGTCGCCTAGCCGTGATTTATTGGACCTCGTTTATTTTATTTCCCAATTCGTTTTACTTTATGGCTCGACCTTCTTCTAATCTTTTACGCAACACTTCCTCGAAACCAGCCTGATTTATTTTGGTGATATGTGGAAAGAGAACTTAATATCTCTGTTTTAATTTTCAAACTAAGTTTACTTTGTTTTACCAACTTCCTAATTTACTTTTTGCTTTGTATCCATAATTTGCCTGGTAATATATAAGAGATGTCGAATGAAAGATGAAAGAAACATACAATGCGAAATTGCAAGGACGCAAATAGGTACTAGAGAAGGCTTTGATCTATCATAATCAGACAAATCTTGTAGGTAAATATTGTACTATCTGAGGGGCAATGGGTTTATCTGAAAGCAGTACGTATTATTTATAAGTTGCGAAAGTGTATGAAGCAAGACATTAGAATAGTGGTTTTTGTTCTTTATTTTAATTCACTATCCATCCCATAAGGTACATGACTTCAAAAGTATGAATTATAAATTTATATAACATACATACAGCTAGTTTTGAATAACTTTATTAGGCATAGAGAAATACAATACCAGATTAGAAAGGAACCTTTGATTTCCTTACAAAGCATGACTTATTACCAAATGAATGAACAATAACTAAACAAGTATGAAACTAAGCGGACCTAGGTACGCCTTAGTAAATAGATTCGTTATGTATTAGTTTTGTTGGTTTTGACTTTGTAAGTAGATTTGAGTAGATTTGAGAAAAATAGGCACCTGCCTTCGTATTCCGTGCATTCCTTTCATACATTTCTTATTCAAATGATGGTCGACGAGCTGCGGGTAATTTATCTATTTCCAACAGATTTTTGAGTTTGTAAAAGCTTTATACACGATTACAATAGTAGATATTCTTTGAAGCACAAGTGACTAAATATAATTGATTGGTGACAAAGTGAAGGACAGGAATATCAACAATAGACGCAGGTATCGTCTATCGGACAATAAGCAAAACTATTGTGTCGCATCGTTGTGCTTAGTAAAGGTTTTATCTATTCAGAGGTGTCGTTTGTTACACGCTGCAACTTTTTGCATTCTTACAATATCCGTCTTGTTTATTTATCTAACTATATGTTACAATACTCGCATATATTCGGTTTTACTGTTAAACTTTTAAATCATGAACAAAATTAATGCTGTTTTATTTATTAAATATAATCGTATGTATCTAATTGTAAAAAAAATAATAAAATAAACATAGATAAATCTAGGAGGTAAATAACTAAAATATTCACTCACCAAACAGAGGCAGCCAGTCCGAAATAATACAGGAGAAGAAAGACAACAGCACAGTTGGGATTAGCCAGGCCATCGTGTGCTAACAACATTCGTGTTGGCATAATAGAATCTTTAGCACAACCAGCGGCAGTACGGCCCGCCGCAGCGCGAACACCCCATCCAGCGGCTGCGGCACATCTGCACAGGGCTACCAGTACCAACGCACGTTCGCCAGCTCCACCTCGGTCGCCACAAGCCAACTGTGCTCCAACCGCGGCCAAGGTACACGCAAAACTTAATGCAGCCCAAGTCGCGAGCCACACCTCTGCAGCTCGTCGCTCTCCAGCTTCCCACAATACTTCAGCATCACAGAATTGCGCGCACCGACCCGATCCACGCACCCACACCCAGTTTTTAGGTTTTACGAGTCGCTGGCATGCGCCTGGCCTGCCTGTATTTGATGAATCCAGCGATATTGTACCTACAGGCGGTGCGTGATCTCCAGGACCTTCCATACACATGTGTTCGTGGTTATTTTCCGCGGGAAACAATGAACAGTCCAGTTCTGCAGGCCAGGGAAAACCGAATCCACTAAGCACTGGATAACACCTGGCGTATACGCTCTCACACAATCCTCTACATGGTCCGATTGGTAATGCAACTTTATCTGTACACATGGGCACGTATACTGTACACAAAAACAAATCCAACTGGGGTGAGCACCCGTACTGCACGAGTGGTGTAAACGTCTGTAAGGTCACATCAGCGTCAGCTTGCAGCGTATGTCGAGCCAAGTTAGGCATTCCAGTCTGATTGTAACCGATATTCTTGCACATAGCCACTTTGATAGGTTCACATGTCCGTACTGACGCCTCAGAGATGGCCCCAGTCACAAAGGTTACGGTTAAAAGGATCGCGGTGAAGCACTTCATATTGGGAGATTATATCCGGTGAGTTAGATGAAAGATCTCATTGTATTCGTGAATATTTACGCGCGAACGTAGAAAAAGTAACCGAGAAACGTGCATGCGTCTCAGAGCGCGTCACAAGACGTTGTGTTGGTGTGCGACGCCCGCGAGCCGAGAGGGCAGAGGGGAGTACAAACAAAAAAAGGAGCAGGTATGCGCAAGCGCAACAGTGTAGCCGAGAAGCCGAGGGAAAAGGAGAGAAATTGATGAGACCGTGTCCGGAGCCCGAGTCCGTCGTCGGTCGGGCGATGCCTGCCGATATCCGCCGGGCGACTAGGCGCTTGTTAGCCGCGTAACTGTCCTCGCGGTACTCTCGTTATCATGCCTTATCATTAGGGTTGATTCCAAAATACGCACGTGATGCCGATAATAAATTGGCCGACTTATTTCCAATATAGATTTTTAGATAACTGTGATCGTATCTCACCTAATCGATGTCTACTTATCCGTGTAGGTATGTAGAAAAATAAACAAAATATTAACATGCAATTTAAAAAACTGAAGGTATAAGAATATTATATAACTATTGTTTACTCATATACCATATACATAGATATTGAAAGGTACTCGTTTTAACATAATTATTACCGAATTAAAATTTTACTATTTAGTACATAGCAGTCAATGGTTGCCTAATTTGACAGTAATTTCGAATTAAATCAATATACAAAAATAATATTTACTCTGTAATTACTAATTACCTAGCGAATAAATTCACTAGTTTACACGGTTTTCATACCCCAGTTTGTTGTTATTTTATTATTAATTTAGATAGAATTATCCAGAAAAAATAATAAAATTAATCTGTCACATCTGGTTTAAGAAATATTTATTAACTGCAATACATACTTTAGATATGAATATTAAAAAAAATGAAAAATGACAAATTTTGCCTTCTTTTTTTAGTTATTTGAATCAGTTTCTCTTATAATGAACCAACAGTAACCCTCGTAACATGTTTTTATCCTAAAATCATTGATGACGATCTTTAAATTTTGGTGAAAACGTTCACCTTATTCGTCACTCGTACTTCTTAAGTTTTCATGGAAAAAGTTCAGATGCGAGTGTAGAAAATGACTCTTTAACAACATGTTTATTAACATCTTTTGAAAAATTTCCAATATATTAAAAAAAATTTCACAACCATTTTGAATGCCTTCCAAGCAGAATCAAGAAGCTCTGCTTAAGATCTAGAGAATTATAAATCTATTATAAGATCATTTAATTATTATTAATAATCGATTTAAATTCAACATCACTTTCATTGTCGTCTAGTATATTTGCACTCAAATTACGGGAACAAACTGGATATGGTAGATCTTTCGAATGTAATATGGGCTTAGTAATAATTTATTATATCTCAATGTCTTCATAACATAAAAGTAACAATCATATTCATGATTACTAGGTCTCTTCATAGCACTGGTGAACCAAACTGATGGTAAACGTTTTCTCCTGATGACCACTGGAGTTATATGATTCTACAGCTTTCGCATGAGGCACTCTACACATGAGGCACCCACTTTTTATCTTGATTTGCAACAGGAAATCCAAAATAATGAAGATATGCACTTTTTAACGAATCTACAATGGGTCTTCTCTTTTTTGAAAATATTAACTGCTCACAAACATAACAATAAGATTAGAATTTTGTTTACACTTTCTACTCGACATTTTAAATTAATTCAAAAAAAAATAATTATTGTTTAAAGTGGACGAATAAACAATAAACTGTTGTCAACACGTTAGGTAATTAAAAAAAAAAACATTTGACTGCAAAAAGAAATTGTGACGAGATAAAATATTTCTACTAACACTTTTAGATTTAAGGAAGGTAGATTACCATATTTTTATACATTTAATTCGGGGTATAAAAAAAGTTCAATTTTGTAAACTAGTGTTATTTAACATTTAGTTTATTATGTACAAAGTGATATTTAAATCTACATAATGTACCTAATATTAAGACTTGACTTCTAGCGTAAATAAAAAAAAAAAAAAAAATACAATAATACCTACGTGTGTTGTATCTACTTACCTACCTACGTATCTTTTTATGCAAATTAAAGTCTATTACAAAAAACAGTATACTGTGTATACTGTTTCGCCATTCCCTCTTGTTTTTTTTAATGGATGATAATGTTATCGTAACCCCATCTGAGCTATCGGTATACAGTGGCGGGGCACCAGTGATAGACGACTAATGAGGATGAAAGCAGGTCAGTTAGCCCATCCTGACGAATTTAACTAGAATTAGCTACGATGGTTTCCTGGGGGAAACACGTGGAGGTCGACCTGACAGGGTATATTGCTAGTAATGGGGCTATTTGACCCTATTACTAACAATCCCTTTCCCCTGATACCCTCCTGTTAGGTCGCGTACCCTGGAAACCATTGTGCTGAATTCCAAGTGTATTCATTACGATGGGCTAATTGACCTGCCCTTTTATGCTCACCTATTATCCCTCACTGGTGATCCGCTAACGTATACCGTTGGCGCAAGCGCGGTTGCCATTCCATTATCATCCATTAAAAAACCGATGGAGTTATGAAGTAAGAAATATAAAAAAATACATCAGAATTACTTTTTTTAAGTCGGTGGAAAAACTCACTTTCGTGACCGATGAGATTTTTTATTGATAATTCCTATATTATACTACTGTATGAAAATCAGATGGGTCTAGTAAATATATTTGGGTTATTTAATACATCATATATATATATAATTTTTTTATACAATTTAGAATAGCAAACAATCTGGCATGACAAGCCCAGCTGATGGAAAGTGGCAACCGTCGCCTATAAATATGAGCAGTACCATGGACGCAACAAGAGTACACTATTTCGCCCATGATACCCCCCTTGAGTTGTCACTGAAGACCCGATTTATTATTCAGGACCCTTCAAACCGAAACACAGCTATGCAAACACAACTGCTTCACGGTTGAAACACGAATGGGACAGAGATACCCAAGCAATCGACTTTTGTATAAAGTCTTTCTCTGGTACATCAGCCATTTTACTTATTATTTGTCATAAACATAACATTTTTAACATACAACAACATAGACGTGAGTTTTCTAAGCTTGTACAGTCGTTTGACGATCTGTCAGATTAAATTGGGTAACGCGGTATAATTATACCCACCCAAATGTTCTTTAATTTTTTCTTTCACATACGCAGTCATACGATTTGTTATATATATATATATATATATATATATATATATATATATATATATATATATATATATATATATATATATATATATATATTTACATTTTAGCTATTATTTACATAATTATTATTTTTATGGGCCTGTGACGATAACTAGAATAATTTTCACCCTACAATATAAAAAAAAAAAGAATTAATGGAATAAATACAAGGAATTATTAATGAAAAAACATTAAGTTTTGAAATAAATTTATTGTACATAATTTACTACAATAATATTTAAGCAGTACTGTATAAATTTTATGAAACATAAATAGGTAAATATTGGTGAGTTTTAATAGTACAAAATTGGACCAAAATGTAGACCAGTGGGTTACCAAGCGCTGGCTGACAATAGTAAGGACGTGGATAAATCATATTTACACAGCGATGGTAGACTGCTCAAGATATAATCCTTAAATACGACTAAAATAAAAGATAAATACTTTTACAATAATCTTATATAATACAATGTGTGTTCTCACAATTTGTTTGTAAACATCTTTATGGATATAACATTGTCTGTACCTAAAACACAGTACAGTACGGTTCGACCTCCACAATATGCAATCAAAATAAGAATAGGCCCGCCAAAATTATCGACTTATCTGCTGTCACTCGATTGAAAAGTATGGTCTGCAAATAAATGCTTTTTATAATTTAATCTACTAAATTTATAAACATTATTTATATATTTTATAGCAAATTTTATAAAAACACACATGTGGTGAAAATGATTTTTTTTTTTTTCATTTAAATAACATTTCAATATTTCAGATATCAACGTGAATCTATGCTTTACTCTTATAGGGGCAACAACAGTAATAATGACGATAACAATTACTTTTAAAATTATGCAAAAGTTATTGGAATCACAGAGCTAGATTTCGTTCGGTGGTACTTTTCATAAATATATTTTTCTAACATATTTATTATGTTGTTCTTCTTTTAAAAAAAAATAGACTCATCGTAGGAATAACGGTAATTTTCTACTGCCAATGTCAGGATTACAAAAGATTACATGTAATTTATGATATTTTTCGGTAATGCAGATAATTCGTCGAGTTCTCTCGAAGGGAGAACAACACAAGATATGTGTATGTAAAGGGCAACTAAATTTAATATAATGTGTAAAAATATATGAGTGTAAAATAGCAAGAACAATATATGGAAGGACTGGAATGCGAGAAGTGTAAAGAGAAACTTATTTTTTTATATTATTAGTACATATAAATTTGGCCAATAGCTTAAGTCATAAAGGGGAAGCAATATGGAGTATTCAAAAAATTTTCTAAGATTCCTTTAGGTTATTATTATAATTATTAATTAGTTGTTTTGTTCACTCTACCGGTACATTTTGACAGTTTGACAAATAAGAAGTAATGGCGGCAAATCATTCCTATTTTTATTTTGATCACTGTACTCACAAGTACAATCAATTGTACAATCGTAATTCCTCATACATCTCAAGGCTTTCGCTTCTTTCCTTCTTCTCCTGTTCTTAAACAAGACATTTTTACATTCGTTACACTAATTCATTTATACAAACATTCACATATTTTAACAAATATTCTTTGTGATGGTATACCATTCTCATATATATTTTATACAACATACAATAGTAAACAAGTTACACAATAAAGTATAAGGAATGATATTCAAGCAACATTAGCGCCACCCAGTTTGGAACCAAATTTTAAAAAATATAATGTATAAACACTAATATAGTACCTATTTTCATATGATTTCGACATAACACAAATGAGGTTTGTCTAGAATTTAATATTTTAGACGGAGCCGTGTTAAGACGGAACTATTTATAAATGAAACCGATTATTCAATATTATTGTATATGTTTAGTTACAAGTGATTATAATTAAAATGAATGTACTTGATACAAATCTACGAACGAAACTATATTTTAAACACAACCATCTAATAAAAATATTAACAGTGCTTCCCAATTATATCCCTTTCCATTCTTTTTACATTTGACAGTTCGATGTTAGATATATTTTGTAAATTCCGATAGACAACTTTAAAATACGCAATAAAATGAAATGTGTCAACTCACTTATCACATTTATTACCAATCGAGTACAGAATAATACCGTAAATATATTAGATGTAAAAATATAAATTCTTATTAAAAATAGACGTATCAAAAGTAAAATAGAATAATGGAAAGGGTACAATATTCAGACTAATATTATATTATTGACAAAGAAAATAATATTCAATTGAATTTGGTAAAATATTCTATATATCTGATTTGGATATAAAAGTTTTGTATATATAATATTGTCTCTTTCTTAGCGGGAATAATGCAATGTGTAAAAAAGTTGACTGTTGTAACTGTTGACGCCTTATTGAAGTAACACCTCACATTATAATAACATACAATGTTACGATATATTAAAATGTAAATTAAATGACACTGTGACCATACGATGATTCTACTATGTTTAAGTAAATGAAATGACAATAAAATACTGTAAAGAGTCATTGTCGGTTTACAATAGCCTCTTGTTATTGTTAACGAATAATATATGGATGATACAATGCCCCCAGTCGCCCATATCACTATCATATTACCGAAAGGCAAATCTATGTCCACTGCGACCATATTTTTATATTTTTTTTTCAAAATGAGGGCGTAGCCTAATTACTTAATCCGGAATGATTAACTAAAGATCATCAACAAACATATTGGTTGTTCATTTTGTTATATTTCGGTGCAGTGGATGCTTCTCTTGCATTTTTTAAATGCACTGGAGCTACAACAGCATAGCTAAATTGCTATCGAGCATATTGAAATAAAAAAAATATCAGTTTCATCATGAGATTACACAGATCGAGTTACGACGATGGTCGAATGTAAAGTCGGAAAGTACTATTCGGAACGGTCATCGGGTTACCGGTGACCAGCTCGGGGTAGGGCGGGGCGGGGTTGCCGCGGGGTGACTAGAGGGGCGTGGAGCGTGCGTCGAGGCGGTGTCGGAGCGCCTCGCGTTCGCGCTGGACGTCGGCCAGCTCCGCGCACAGAGCGCGGCACACGCGGTGCAGCACCGCGTTCTGTTCCTGCAAGGCCTTCGCATCCGGGTCGGTCTCGCACGACGACTCGCGTGACGGTTTGCGGTACACCTCGAACGCGCCGTGCATCTTCGGCGCGTCCTCGCGGTTGTACCCAAACCCTTCACCCTCGTATTCGCGCGGCACGAACGCATCTGCCGGGAAAGGTTCACCCTCGCTGCGTTGGTTTACGAGGGCGCGGCGGGCCGGCGGTGATGTCGCCGACGGAGACATGCGCGGCGGAGGCTGTGGTGGCGGTGCGGGTGCTCCTTTGAAACGATTCAAGTCGAGGGAACTAGAGCGTGTGTGGTTGCGTAGAGGTCGCGGTGGAGGCGGCGGCGGCGGCTCCTTCTTGGGCGCATACTGTAGTGACTGGGGCCCATCGTCAGCGTGCACGGACGACTCGCGCGCCGGCGGCGGTGGTAATACCCCTGCGCTCTTTAGGGGTTTTTTCGGTTGCGGCCGCTGGATAGACTTGATTTCGGGGTTTCCGTTCGGCGGCGGCTCGGTCGGTGGCTGGGAGTTGAGTCGCTTTGGACTAGCTAACTCGAAAGCGTGCGCGAAGTCGTCCCGCCGCGGCGACGTGCTGGAGCGCATGTCGCCGTCGCCGTGTGGTAACGTGTTCGCGTCGGGCGTCACCCTCAACGCCACAGGGTGGAAAATCTTAGGATCTCTCTCGACAGCTGACTTGTGGAAATCGAAATTGACCGGTTTCGGGCCGGGACTTGATACGCTCGACGTGGGAGAGTCGACGAATTTAGTCCATTCTTTGTTGTTAACTTGCGGTTCAGGTTTGCTCGGAGATAACGAGGGTTGATGGTCTTCTGGCTTCTTAGCAGGTTTGCTTTCATAGGGATCGTTCGAATCAGGTTTTTGAACGAAGCTGAAGTCGGCTGAGGAGCCAGAACTGAACATGTCAGAACCTAAATCGACCAGGTCCGTGGTGACGGCCTGTTGGGAGAAGCGCGAATCAACCTTCGGGACGAGGCATGCGGGCAGAACGTCGGGTACGGGAATGTTGTTCCGCCTCAGTACAATCAGGTGCATCGCTATGCTAAATTCTTCTAGCGTAAGTTTTCCATCTTTGGTAATGTCAGATAGTTGCCAAATCTTCCGTAAATCCGGCACAGACAATCGAGACTTTTCAAAAAACAATCTGAAACAAGGAATTAAACATAATTACAATCAAACTATAATTAGATGCATGTAAAATGTTTGATAGGTATAACACAGAATCACTAATAAATTAGCCAACTTGCCACAATGTTTTACGATAATAGAATGTTGGTCACCTTCAGGCTGCTCGTGGGTAGCTCGTAAAGTACGTTTTTAACACAAGAATATTTTTTCCTCAATGCATATTGCTTTTCAAAAAGGTAACGACTTCATTTAATCTTTATTGGACAAAAAATATTATTTTATTAATTTTAAAATAAAATTTATTAATTTTAAGATTTTTATTAACTGTTATAATGAATAACCAGCGGAGAGCAATCGGTTGCTTTAAGTGAGGCTACTTTAGTTGTGAAATGAATATGCGGTCAACACCTACGCGATAAAGCCTATCAATTGTTAAGAGAATAAAAATTTCGATTCAGAGCTGGCAAAGGTGAAAGAGGTGCCGTATAACAAAATACAGGCGAGTTAAGAACTATTTAAAATTAAGTTTATTGCATTTTAGTTCTACTTTTTTAAATTAATATAATAAATTTTATTTTAATTTACATTATATATATATGCGAAATTTTACAAAAAATTATGAATCCAAATTAATACAAAATTTATCATGTGACTACATAATGTAACATGTATATAAGGCTAGCTATATCCCGCTGCTTTGCCCACGTAAATCAGGACATAAAGTATCTGCTAAATTAAGATATAATCTACTCATGTACCAAATTTTATTTAAATCCGTTCAGTAATTTTTGCGTGAGAATAACACATATTTAATAGAATTAAAAAAATATTTTCATATTACGTCACATATTTTTGAGAACATTTTTTTATTTAGAGGCTTTTGTCTATTATAGTCTATTTTGTAACTAGTAAATAATATATTAAATGATTAATAATGATATACATAACAATAAGCAAATAAATATACTCACTTGGCGGTCTGTCCAGAAAGTAGGCCGCACTCTGGTCGCAGCTGAGCGAATTGCGCAGCATAGTGATGCGCCTGCGCATCGCTGATCGCCCAGATGTCTTCTGCCGGTTCTCCATCGCCCTCCTCCTCAGATGAATGCCGGTCCGATGATTCTTCTTCTGTGCCTGAAATAAAAAAAGTTTTATTTTTAACTTACTAGCTTTTACCCGCAACTTTGTCCACGTGACCAGTTCACTGCTCGAGACAAAAAGCAGTCTATATCCTTCACCATTATGTTTATATCAAATTTCATAGTAATACTCTTAAAGCGCTAATAGGTAACAAACAAACTCGAGAGGAAAGGGATTGTTAATAAACTCATTACTAGCAATATACTCTAACAGAACGACCTGCACGCGGTTCTTGCTGGAAACCATTTTGATTTATTTCCTATGAATTCATTACGATGTGCCAATTGACTTACTTCGTCGTGCCTATTATCCTTCGATGGTGCTCCGCTAGCATAAACTGCTAGGGCAGGGGAGTTTACCATCCCATTTTCATTAAAAAAAAAAAACTCATTTTAATCGTAGTAAGGATAGTCACGATTAAAAATAACTGAATTTTCTCGCTGTTTAATAAATTATGAATTTTACCTCAATCAATAAATCGAACCTATAAGCGTGTAAAACGTTGACTTGATTCTTTTCGCTGGATCGATCGATGAGACTCGGAGAAAAGCTAAACGAACGTGTACTAATGTTTAAAAATATCCTGCACGGAATTTACCGCACAAATACGGGTATTCCGCAGGTCTCATTGACATGCAGATAACCGCTGGAATGCAGTAACGCACAACGCAGGTTTGTAAACATTGTCGTTCATGAAAAATATCGATAACAAACCCAATAATATGGTTGACGACTGTAGGCTCATTCCATGACACTTTAGATTTTAATAAGCTTGGTATAATGCAGGCATATCGAACGTTAAGTTCGCCACAAAGGCAATAGTCGACAATGCCTTTGACTACCAATTTAAGGATTATAGGCGTGAGCATATTTATTTTTTTATAACTTTATTGACCACACAATATATTATATGAGACTAGATGTAATAACTTTATAATGAAACTTTTCGGAAGTACAAATACCTTTGAATGAATAAGTAATAAAATTATAGATAAAATAATACAATACAATGTTTTTTTTTTTTTTTACTAATTTCGCGGTCTCAGCGCAGTCTACAGCGATGTCTTATCTATGACGTTTTATAGCAGGTAGTAAATAGTTGCTAATGTTTAGTTAATACATAAGATACGAGCTATTTTCGCTATTATGCGACGTGCACTCCTTTTTTTTTATTTACAATGAAACAGATTTTGTAACACAATGTTTACATTATGATTTTTAAATTTACAAAAATAAATAATAATAATGATAAATAAAAATATTTGAAATAAGAATTAAATTACATTATAAGTTGATTACAATACAATTAGATGTCAATAATGATTATAAATTTTAAAATTGGAAATATCAATTCATTTCATTCCTTTGTTTCCTTATACAAAATCAATGTAATAAAGGAATTAAATTGTAGTCATTAGCTACCAATTTTACAGAAATAAATTAATTAGAAACAAATATTAAATTACATCAAAAACAGTTTTAATAGTGTCAAAAAACAAGGGATGGAATGAATTTTTTTTGTATGTTACTCCGATATCAACCAAATTTATGAGTCGATTTGCATGACAATCATGCAATTTTTTATTTAAAGTGTTTAAAATATAGAAAGTGTCAAAATTTTAACATAATTCAAATGAAACTTATTTAAAGAGGATGGTTCGTTACGTAAAAAGAATGTTTTTTTTTTTTTTTTATTTTAAATTAGTAACATTTGAACCAACGCATGCAAACAGAATGCACTTTGACCTACCTAAATTATATGATATTGGAAGTACAAATGTGTTAAGTAGGAAACGCCATATTAAACTGTAAATATTATGATGTAGGTACCTGCTTTGTTAGTTTCGTTCTAAATATGATGAAGGTTTACGAAATCTTGTTTAGAATTTCATTTCAGAAAAGAATTTTAATACTCAATATCATTAATCAGCTAGATTATTTGAAGTTTTTTTTTTTTTTTTTAATTATTATGAACTAATTGTGACTAAACAGCCCTGTATATATTTTATCCTTATGGATCATTCATCATTACATTTTAGCTTCTAATACGTCTATACTACGCCACTATCCGAGGATTGTGATATATGTAATTCAACTACTCAGAAACTGTGATAACAGAATGAAAACGAGAGAAACTAGAACAAGATTCGTTTGTGTACTAATTAACATTAAAATATGTAAAGTCATTTTTTTTAATATGTGAAAATGGAATAGTAACGTCGCCTCTGATATCGATATTCGCTAGCGGGATACCAATAAGAGATAATAGGTGAGGATGAAAGAAAGAAGTCAGCTCATTGTAATGAATCCCACAAGACTTAACCACAACGGTTTCCAGGGGAAATCGCGTGAAGGTCTACCTGTTAGGATATATTGCTAGTAATGGGGCTGTTAGACCCCATTACTAACAATACTAAAAATATAAACATCTAATATCTTCATTTATTAATTTAGGAAAGCTTGTTTCCTAAATTAGTCCAACTTAAATAACCAAGAAATAAAAAACTAGTTGTGAGTGTTTAGTAGAGGTCATGTACGCGTACATAATTAGCTAGACTAGACTGAATAATTTGCTCAATTATCGTCGTTAAACAGTATGAATAAAAGAACTGATTTCTGCAATAAAACCCCGTTTTTTTTATTTAAATATACTCGAATGTTAATGGTATAAAACAAGTTTTATAAGACTAGTAATTTTATAACATTAGGTATTATTATTATTATTGCTGTAAAAAATAGAAACATAAAAAGAAACACCGACAACTATAATTGAAACTTCAAAAATTTATTCTACAATAAAATTTACATCTTGACAAAATTAAGGGACTAAAAAGAAAGTAAATAATAGCAATTAAAGAGATTTTTTTATGCAATGTAGAATGGCAAACAAGCTGATGGCCCACCTAATAGAAAGCAGTAACTCTCTCCTATAGACATGAACAGTACTATAGACATAACAGAGTATACTGACTCTCCTATGATACCCCTTATGTGTTCCTATTCCTGAGAATTGATATCTCCTATATCCCACCCGTCAAACTGAAACACAATTATTTGTATTTGTTGTATTTGTACAAAAATTCCTTTAGTAAAAGTAGAATAAAAGTACTTTTTATTTTTTATTTCTCCTCACCTAATAGCCGTGTATGTTCCTCGCCGGTGTTGGCTGGCCATACGCCACGCCCTGTCGCACTGTTTTCCCACACAGGATGTACCCTTTCCGCTACACTGTTTGTAGGCGTTGGACTCTCACTAGCTGTGCTCCATGGTGAACCATTCTTTCCTCTTCGCTGGTAAAGAAATATCCAATAGTATGTTAATATTGGTGACTATACTTTTAGCTTGATGGTAATGTGGTAAAATTAATGTGGAATGATAACCCCAACCCCATCTGTGCTAGTGGTATACACTGGCTACCAGTGAATGACAATATGCAAGGATGTAATTAGATCAGTTGGCCCATGATGACAAATTCACTGGGAATTAATCACTATGGTTTCCAAGGCGAACATGTGGTCCATCTTCATAGTTAAAAGTTTTGTTAGTACACATTATATTTTAATCTAATAACTATTGACTTATGTGTAATTTGGTTGAGAATGCTCGATCAGTTTCAAGACCATCCAGGAAATCAGGCTTGCATCGCAGCCGTTCAAGATTAAGGGTCCAGAAAGTTCCAAAACTAGTTTCGCTTTCTCGACTAAATTACACATAAGTTAAATTGGTAGTTATTACATTAAAAGATCTTTATAGTAACAAATTTACAAGTATTTTACAATAATAATAAAACATCCATAATATGAGAAAAAAATTGTTCAAAAAAGGAAAAGAGATTATTGTGTATGTATGTTACTCTTGAAAAAAAAACATATATTTGTATTAAGAACTTCCTTCTTTTTGAAGTTAGTTGAAAATTATTGATCATAGAATCATCACAGTATTATTCATTATTCTATACATAATGATTAAATCACTATAAATAAAATTATAAATGTCAGTTATATTTTGTATATATAAATAATATTTATCTATTTCTGTTACAATTAATACCCAGCTACAAAAACTAAGTATTGCTTAATATTAAACAATACTAATCTACATTGGTTAACTACAATCTGTTATTATCAATTAAAAATATATTAAGTAAGTAATATAGACATCATCTATTTTTATCACATTTACAGTACAAAGAGAAATTATTAAATAAAATTTAAAAAAAAAATAGGAAAACTAATCATAACATTAATATTGTATAAATTACTAAGTATAAAAGACTATGAAGTTGAGATGGACAAGAGGTTAGGTATTATCCTAGTCAACTTTTTAACAAGAACAAGCATTTAGAAATAGAAACTAGAATGACTGGCAAAGTAAGTATTTGTATTTGTAAGTAATAGTCCCATTAAAAATCAATGCAAAAATATAACCACTATACCAAAATCTACATCCAACAACCATAATATGGTTAGTATAAAGCTGGTTCTTAACAGAGCTACTTCAAACTCATTGTAACATAATTCTTAACTTATTAGTCAATAAATAAAAAAATATACACAGTGAGGTTGATTTTGAAGTATCATTATATCATTATCTATTTCAAAAATTAAAATGTTGATTCTATATAATAGTGAAAACTATATACCAAGGATCACTATTAGTTAAAATTATATTTGAGTTTGAACTACACTAAATTTAATTTAAATGGTCAATAACATATAGTTTCAATGAACTACCTTTTTTTTTCTTATTTTCGAGATAGACTAAGAAGCTGGTCCCTCCACATATAAATTCTAACCAACCATCTCTGATTGCACCATATTCTTTCTATATAAATCATCAACAACTACTAGAATTTCAATATTGGACTTACCCCATGTGATCCAGATCTTTGTGACATTGTTTCTGATTCAATCTCGGAATCTGTGCTCAAGGCTTCGGCACCATCATGTGATAAAACTGGGGGTCCATCACTATCAGATAGATTCGACGAAACACGCATAGGTTCATATGCACCAAGGTTTCCACCAAAATTTCTGTCCCTTTTAACAATATGCTGCTCTTTAGGTGAACTCGATAACTGTATTAGGTCGGCGCTTGCTTCAGAATTAAGAGCCCATGTGAATCTTGGTAGTGGAAGGTCGAGAGGTGTAGATAATAATTCTGGCTTTAGAGACATATTTGTTTGATGAGCTGCTATTAACTTTAGGGCCGAGTAAAATTGTTTCCTATTCATATGATTCAATGACGCACAATTGTTAGGTGCTACACTTATATCCATGATCTGCAAACACAAAATTAAAATGTGTATTCATCATTAGCAAATAATTACCTATTTGTTTTGATGTCTGCCGAACAATAATTAATACCTGCTTAAGGATTTCATTAGGTATATTAGATGATCTAAATAATTCCGTTGCTTTTAAAATCGGTATTTTCCCGTTGGACTCTTCATCACAACATAAAAACAAATCACCGAAATATCTCATTTCGGTTTCTGTCAAATTGAGATCCTCCATTATAGAAAACAACCACTATTAAACGAACTTTTACACAGTCTTATTAGTTTGTATTTAAATATGCAACAAAAATAACCATTATCTATTAATGTACACCATTATTCATTGATAAATAGACGGATTTGAAACTTGTACATCACAAAATTTACACGAAGCAAACGAAATGTCACTGACAGCTGCCTGCCTGAGGTGCGTGCAGCCATTAAGTTAATGATACCATATAAAAATTCGCATAAAATACCAAATTCATATTTTTAGCTCATGATTTCCTTACTCGACGCCAATAATAATATGCCGTTGTATTTTTGGGGTATACTTGAAAATTTAAAACCAAGTAACTCAGTGACCATTGCCTTTGGTCTCGCTAAAACTCCCAGAATACGTGATATTTTAACCTACACTCAGTTGTAAATTGCTACCTTCAAAGCTGCATTATGTTTAAAAAGTTCAGATTTTTTTTTTTCATAGATTAAGCACTTCTGTTATTTTTGCCGTAAATATTTATTTTAAGTTGGTGCAACCTTCGTTTTTTGGGGCCTAGGATTGGTTAAAGATAATTGCATTCTGTTCCTATAGGGCCTAGTATAAATTACCTACCCTTGGTAGATAACAATATATACAGCAATTTGACTGAGGTATCAATAGCAGAGCTTACTTAAAAGCATAAACTACATAGCCAAATATTGTCTGCACAAGCAGACAATATTTGTGGTCTAGTACACAATTTTAAGACAAACTCCATCTCTACTAAGTATATAAGCACCAGCTTACTCATATTGGATATTATTACTCAACCAGGTTACTTAAAAACTCACAACGTTTATTAGAGAAAACTGGGCGGAGGTCGACCTGACAAGGTATTTTATTAAGATGAAAATGGAATGGTAACCTCATTTCAAATTGATGGGGTATCAGTTAAAGATAAGTAAGGCTGAAGTCAGGTCAGTTATAGCCTATCATGATGAATTCAACAGCATTACCTTAAATGGTTTTCAGGAAAGACTATATGGAGATCAACTTGATAGGGTATATAGCTAGCAATGCGGCCGCTAGTCTCTGTTGCTAACAATCATTCCCCAAAATGGGCCAACTGTCCTGTTTTTATCCTTAAAGGTGCCTCGCTAGCATATATCGACAGGATAGGTGAAGTTACTACTCTTTTATCACCCATTAAAAAAAGTGCCGTCCCTCGGATTTGTTTAAGATGTTTTCCATCATAGAGTTAATTGGAATTTACGATTTTTTACGTCTACAAGTTAAAGTGAAATCATCACTGACTCAATATTTTATAATATCTATGACTCTTACTATAAATTTTTCTATGATTTCATACCTACCTACATCGTGATTCCTCGATTGTTATCACTCGTAATAGGGAGTTCGAATCTGTTGAGGACTATAATTTTCATTTTAATTTCCGGATAATAATGAACACTGTTAAAAAATTTCGAATGGAAGACATTCTGATGTCGCAAGGTTGGAAACTTGCTTCTAGTTTATCCGATTTTAATGTATAATTTATTAATAACTGTCTAAATTTATAGTGATGGATGTCTGTTATTCTTTCATGCAAAATCTATTAAAGGAATTAGAATGAAATTCGGTACACGGGCAGGTTTTATCTTTAGTAAATTGGATACTTTATGTATTGATTACGCAAACAGAGCGGCAGCATATAACTAGTAATATAACAAGGGTAATAAAACAATTATAAATATTATTAATTTATTTTACACATACACTAAACAAACTTCACTTAATATTATCATTCATTAGGTATACTCTCTTAGAAGCAATTATAAATTACACATGAGAATATGACAATACTAGTCTCAAAGTAGCGTAAAAATTAAGATTACACAATTATATAATACTTAAACATAAAAGTAGATTATTCGAAAAATCATAATATTGATTTCTATAATATAAAATGCAATTTAATCCTTTGTTTGGATAAATTTGATGAGGTCAATGACTCGGCTGGAATAGCCATACTCATTATCATACCAACTGATGAGTTTCACGAAGTTATCATTTAGAGAGATACCAGCAGCAGCATCGAAAATGGATGAGTGGGAATCACCAATGAAATCAGAAGACACCACTTGCTCCTCAGTGTATCCAAGAATGCCTTTAAGGGGACCAGAGGCAGCTTCCTTGACCTTCTGCTTAATTGCTTCATAAGACGCTGGTCTGCCAAGACGGACAGTCAGGTCAACGACTGATACATTTGCAACAGGCACACGGAAGGCCATACCTGTTAGTTTACCATTAAGTGCGGGAATGACTTTGCCAACAGCTTTAGCAGCACCAGTGGAGGCAGGAATAATGTTTTGTTGGGCACCACGACCATCACGCCACAGTTTGCCAGAGGGTCCATCTACAGTCTTTTGAGTAGCAGTTGTGGCATGGACAGTGGTCATCAGACCTTCAACAATTTCAAAGTTATCATGGATAACTTTCGCGAGAGGAGCCAGACAGTTAGTGGTACAGGAAGCATTGGAGATGACCTTGGCGGATGGGTCATAAGCATCAAGGTTGACACCAACAACAAACATGGGGGCATCAGCACTGGGAGCAGAGATAATTACTTTCTTGGCACCACCTTCTAAGTGGGCTGAAGCTTTTTCAGTGGTAGTAAAGACACCAGTGGACTCTACTACATACTCAGCACCGGCCTTGCTCCAAGGGATAGACTTTGGGTCTCTTTCAGAAAATACAGTGATTTTGTTTCCATTAACAATCAGTTGGCCATCCTGGGCATCTACAGTACCCCTGAAACGACCATGTGTAGAATCATACTTGAAGAGGTAGACCATATAGTCCAGACCAATGAAGGGGTCGTTGATGGCAACAACTTGAGCTCCCTTTTCTATCGCAGCACGAAGCACCAAGCGACCAATACGGCCAAATCCGTTGATACCGATTCTCGACATGTTTCCTGTAAATATTTAAAAAAATAATTAAAAATTTTATGAAAACAATGTAAAATTTTTATTATTTTCTTGTAATTCTGTCATATTCATTTATTCTATATATTTTCATGGCTAAATGATTGTTTTACTTTGGTTTATTTTAGTTCTGGTAGTTCCTTTTTAACTACTGAACCAAATAAGGAGCTTGAAAAATTTTTTTTATATATGACCTCAATTGACCTTATAAATTTACAAGATGCACTTTTATTCATATACCTATAAGGCATATTAGTATTACAATATGTATCCCACATCTTATAAAAAAATTTGTTCCTAGTTCAACCTTTTAAATAAATAGTTATTTATTTAGTTAGTAGCAGGAAACAATGAAAATTGTAAAAAAAATCAATCATTTAAAAAGTTGAAACAAAGATAAGTTTTTAGGTATATATGATGAACAAAGCTAAACCCAAAATAGATAAGATTAGGTAAGAACTATATCTAGTTATAACACAAAAAAATTAATTAAAATTTAGCTAGATAGGTAATGATTTTTTTTCTAAATTTAATTATTCCTTATTAGCACTTCTCAATTAAAAATTGAACAAAAAATATTCTGCTATTATAAATAATCCAATTTAAATTAATTGTTCATGTTTCATAAATATATAACAATTTTTATTCTTTTTATGAAAATGTAGATATAAGATAATAAAAAAATTTGTTTACTTTTAGTCTACTTAATTTTATATTATTAATTTGTAAATCTATAACAATAAACATTTAGTTAAATATGAAATATTTAAACAATTCATGTAATTTCTACTCTCATCAACATTTACAAACCACTAGATGTTCTTTAGGTATGTTCAATACAATACACAATTTCATTGTTTACTATAAAGCCACTGGAGGTAAAAATGAAGATCTATTCATAATTGGCTATTTACCTGATAATTACTTAATTTTGTGTGATTTTTTACTGTTCTTCAATAAAATACAAACAAGTAATTAAATTAAAATAAATATATTGGGTATTGAGTAAATGTCGACAGCAAGGAATACTCGAGGGATTCTATTTCATAATCTTCAATATTGTTTTCAACAACTATAATATTTTAATATTAAAATTTTCTTCAGTGTATCCATAGTTTTAATCAGTACATAACATTTCCGACAGAGAAAGTGGAATCGAAATAACCGGCGCGTGGAGGTCATATAGAGGTCACAAGTAATATAAACTAAATACATTATATTTACATAAAAATAATATAATTTTAGAATACGATAACAATTAAAAGTTTCTATAACATTTCTGTAATGTTATACTAAATAAATCATGCGCTGTAGATATAAATTACGAAACATTAGCCGGCCAACATTATGGAGGACAATAATGTCAGACGCGTTGTATAAATATAATTGAAAAATTAGAAATAATAAATTTAAAACAAATATATTAGGATAATTAATTAAGATTGAACTCACCGGATATTATTCAAATATAAATTAATTCACTATTTTATTTCGACAAGTACCCAGGTACTCTCTTTCCGATGTACGGTTTGGAAATGTCAATTTTGTTTGACTTTCTTTCTTATGAAATCTTGTGAAGGACAGTGAAGGACAAACAGACAAGGCGGGGCGGCATAGATTCTGGAAGATGTGAATCATTGTTCAGCATTGCCAGATACAAAATTTGTATAATTTTTTTTTTGTTATTTTGTATTCACAAAAAAGATATATTCACAGTAAATATAATATCTAATAGGCATACGTTATTCACAGCATTAATTAAAACACCTTAAACTTTATAAATAACATTTATTTTACAAGTAAAATAAATATAAGTTGGTATTTTTGAAACGAAGTTATTTATTTTTATTTCTTTACATTTTTTTAAATATTTCAATGCAAATAAAAGTCTAATAATTTATAACCGTTTCGAGCATGTATAATAAGCGGCATTACAAAAAAGAAATAATAAAACAGTAATATCTAGTCCAAACATATATGTAAGTGCTCTAAATTGAATAAAAAAGATTGCAAGCACCTCAATCTTTAGTTTGAATGTACTTAATAAGGTCAATAACTCTGCTAGAATAGCCATATTCATTGTCATACCAGCTGATTAGTTTTACAAACTTATCATTTAAGGAGATACCAGCGGCAGCATCAAAAATAGACGAGTGCGAGTTACCAACAAAATCAGAGGAAACAACTTCATCCTCAGTATATCCAAGAATGCCTTTAAGTGGACCTTCAGCGGCTTGCTTAATTTTTTGCTTGATTGCTTCATATGTAGCTGGCTTACCAAGACGAACAGTAAGGTCGACAACGGACACATTAGGTACTGGTACACGAAAAGCCATACCAGTAAGTTTACCATTAAGTGCTGGAATTACCTTTCCAACAGCTTTTGCGGCTCCGGTGGCTGCAGGAATTATATTTTGTTGAGCACCGCGACCATCGCGCCATAGTTTACCCGAAGGGCCATCTACTGTTTTTTGTGTTGCCGTTGTAGCATGAACAGTAGTCATCAAGCCCTCAACAATTTCAAAGTTGTCGTGGATTACTTTTGCAAGTGGAGCCAGACAGTTGGTTGTGCAAGAAGCATTGGAAATCACTTTATAAGAGGGATTATAAGCATCAAGATTCACACCAACGACAAACATTGGTGCATCAGCGCTAGGTGCAGAAATGATAACTTTTTTTGCTCCTCCTTGCAAATGAGCTGAAGCTTTCTCTATAGTAGTGAAGACTCCTGTTGATTCTACAATATACTCGGCACCAGCCTTTTTCCATGGAATTGCTTTGGGATCTCTTTCAGAAAAGACCGTTATTCTGTTTCCATTAATAACCAGTTGGCCATTCTGCGCAACAACCGTACCGTCAAAGCGACCATGTGTAGAGTCGTATTTAAAAAGATACACCATGTACTCTAGGTCAATAAAAGGATCATTAATTGCAACTACTTGAGCCCCTTTGGCTATCGAAGCACGCAGGACCAATCGGCCAATACGACCGAATCCATTGATTCCAATTTTTGACATGTTACCTGTAAAAATATTTTGAAATTTTAAAGTTTAAATAGACTAAATAACTTACATTTTTATTTAAATCTTCTACAATGTAATAAATGGTATATACTATGCCCAATTTTTAACTAAAACTTTCGTTATTTTAACGAAATTCATCTAATATAACTATTCAAAAAATATTGACGCATAATTTTTATTTGAAATGTAAATATCTGATAAAAAAATTTTAGATTATAGATTTTTGATCATTTTATAAGATCATCTCTTCTTTAGTAAAGGAAACTATATTAAATATTTAGTAAATATCGTCATAGTCGTAGAATAGTGACGGATCTTTATATGTAATCTTCGTCAGATCCGTCAGTATTCTACGACTATGACGATATATTGATCATAATTGATATACATTTTTAAAAATATTATATTTATAAATATAACAAAAAGATATTAACTTATAAATCGGTAAATAAAAAAAAATATGCAAATAAAATATAAAAAAAAAAATACTTACTTGAAGTAATTTACAATCTTTAAAGCTACACTTATCCTCCTCTTTTTATTGACTAACAAAGATAGGAAAAATACTCCGTTGAATGGTAATCTTAAGTGACCTATAGATATCTTCTCAGGCGTTTGTCAATGAATAAATAAAAAAATTAAAGAGTCTTTATATTTACCTTTAGTACTAATTTACCTACAGTACTACGGTAACGAAGAAATTTATTAGTATCTCATACTCCGCACTAGAAAAGCCATCATTATTATCATCATCATACATAAGCTTATTCTGATCCGATCTAGATATAGGGCTCCTTCAATGTTTTCTAACGTAGCGAATGGCAACTATTTGAACATTCTTTAACAAACTAACACATACAGACACAAAAATTATCAATGATACATAAAGTATACTAATATAGTAGCCGTAGTAATAGATTATTGTTTAGCCAAGCACCATTTCTCATAAAGTGATTGTCTATATTATTTTTTAGCAAAATCTTTTTATTTATAGTTAACTAAAAATACGTTGCTGACTTAAAAAAAAAAAAAAAAAAACATAAAACTGTATATCGTATTTAATCAAATCAGTCACATTAAATAAAACTTGTAATGATAAAGATGTATAACGGATTGTGATCTAAAGAACTCTTTAATATAAGACCTACATTTCATCATCGTACCGAATCCATTCTCACATCTTAGTACCAAAATGCTCACCTACGCATTGTGCGGTTTCAAAGGAACTTCTTCCCACGAACAATCTAAGTGATTGTGAGATATTATTTTCCGAGACTTTTCCTAGATACTGCAGCATGGGGTTTTCCCAAAAGGCGTATTAAAATTTTTTAAGGGTTAACACAAATCCCTGGTATTACAGACATTCATAGGCTACCGTAAACCCGTTTACCATCACACAGACAGTATGTTTGCTATGACAGTTGTATAAAAAACCACATTGATAATTAAATTTACTAGGAATTTATAAATATGATTAAGAAATACAAATTCACTATACGTACAAATAGTTTCTTTTATTAAATCATTTAAATGAATAGGCAATATAAATTGTCATTAAAAGAGAGTGAATTCTCAATTACATTCAAATTTAATATTAAAAATCTGGGATTATGTTTTTTTAAAATACCTAGATAATATTTAAAAATCAAGATTGTTATTTATTAATTATTAACTCAAAGAATACTCGTATACTAAGGTAAACTTTAATCTATGACAAGTTTAAGAGATTAAATTAGTTACATAAACTTGTGTTATCTTTGACCTCTGATTGGTCCTAACCTTAAAGCAGATAAACAGGATCAACAATACAAATATTAATTTGTTATGCTCCAGCACATACTTAATAAAAAGACTAGACCTGATATATGCTGAGATATTGGGGAGAAGAGACTGTTAGTAATGCGGATTATCAGTCCCATTGCTAACAATATACCTTAACAGGTCGACCTCAAAATTTCAGGTGTATTCATCATGATGGGCTAACTGATCTGCTTTTTCATTCTCACCTATCATCCCTCACTGGTGTCCCGCCAGCGTATACCATTAACGCCGGCAGGGTTACTATTTCATTATCATCCATTAAAAAAACTCGTTGATCTGACAACAAACTATGTATAGTTTATATAAATACTTACATTAACAATGACCTCAATTGTTGTTAAGGTCTTTTATTATTGTCTACTAACCGCGCTCGTGATTCTATCCAAGTGATATTTGAAACTAAAAATAATTTGTAAAAAAATTTTTAGTTTCAAATAGTTACGTTAGTTACTTAGTTTTTACGAATTTTTTAGATATAATATTTGTCATAAAAATACAAAATGGAAATCTTTTTAGTTATTTTCTCGTGATATTGTAAACATATAGACATAAATTCTAAAATTGTTTTAAGCGTTTTTAGCTAATTTTCACGGACAAATTTCAAAATATCTACAGACAGACATTTTGACCCAATCGACCTCTACATTTGCCTTTACGCGTGTTTGTTTTTGTTCAATTTCCTGTAGTGTGTTGACAGACTAGAAAATGTACTGTTACAAGAACATGGTCTATGGTTTTAATTTGCAAAATGGCGTTACTGTGTCTTCTACACTGACAGCGCGGTATATTCAAAATATCAAGTAATTTAAATTTTAATGAAGTTCAAGCAAATTAGTCATGGCTATAAAAGTAGGTATAAATGGTTTCGGTCGAATCGGTCGAGTGATATTTAGGGTTTGTATACAAGATTCAAATTTAGAGGTTGGTGCAAATATTAATTACTAATTTAATTCATAAAACAGTGAATTACTCGTAACTCGTATACAATCTTCTTAGATTTTTTTCTACAAAGCATTTTGCATGAAATTATCGTATGGAAATATTATACTGAGTAAATAAAAAGTAAATCGATAGGCAACGTGTAGATAAAGTGAAATACTCGTACTATTACTAAATCTATTTCTAAAAAGTAAAATTGTAAATCACATTAAGAATGAAATAATATTATATAAATAGCGCTTCACGCTTAAATAGTATCGAACCCAGTATCTGTAGCATCAGTATTTAATTCGTGCCATCATCTAAATTATATAGATATTACATATGAAATATTTTACTTTAATGATTCCTTAGGTAACTGCAATCAACGACCCCATTGTCGACATTGATTATATTTGCTATTTGATCAAATTCGACTCTACGCATGGAAAATTCAATGGCAGTGTTACATATAAGAACAACGAGATTACACTTGGTAATGGTTAGTGAATTATGATTTTAGGTACTTAATTATTCTGTATTATTCTTACTTACTTTTATGGGGAGGCCTATATCCAGCAGTGGATGGATAATGGCTGAAATGATGATGATGATGATGATGCTTCTTACTAACAAGAGATAATGTAATAATTTAATAAGGAGTTTGCTACTCAGTTTTCTCTGCATACATTATACTGTGTAGTAATAAACAAATTGAACTATATTTTGTTAAGAGAAATAAACAACGATGTATTACGTATGTTAAAATATACATATAGAAATGTGAGTTGTCTTTTGTCTATTTATTTTCATGTTAAATTCTTTATGGTGAAGACAGAAAGAACAGACGTTCTTTATCTTTATGCACATTTCATTTTTTAGGATTTTTTTTATGTTTAAGGCGATTTCGATATGCTTTAAATTGTATTTTACTGTAAATTTTTTTTTATTGTAGACCATATTGTTAAAGTTTTTCACGAGAAACTACCTTCAAACATTCAGTGGCAAGTGGCTGGAGTGCAGTATGTTGTAGAAGCATCTGGAATGTTCACTAATTTGGAAAAGGCATCGGTAGGTTTAACTCATTTTCAGTTCAAGTTATGCATCGTCCATTTCTATCCAATCCCTTTTGCTAGCCCTATTATATTAGCTAGACCACTTGGTATAGTTTTATTTCAAAATTTCTATGAAAAGAAGTGGGGTGACTACTTTTACTCCGTCACCATGGGGGGGGGGGGGGTTGTTAGTAATGTGGATTATTAGTCCCATTACTAACTACTAGCAATATACTCTATCAGGTGTACCTCCACGTGGTCACGCTTGAAAATCATTGTGCTGAATTCCTGGTGTATTCATCATGAAGGGCTAACTGATCTATCTTGCGATCCTCACATATCATCCCTCATATCCCGCCAGCGTATACCGTCAGCGCAGGTGGAGTAACCATCATTATCATCCAGTACAAAAAAAAATACTCTGTCACCACATGGAAAAAGATATGGCTATCCGCTCTGTTTACAGCTGGTTCTAGATAGAGCGGTGCTCGGGAGAAATCCCTTTTCGTTTATATTGATAACATCCTTATAATGTATATGAATTTTGATTTTCTAAAACATAGACAAAAACCAGTTTTATAGTTTTTGCATTGGCAAATTTCCTAATATTACTCATTTAAATTGTCTTTTAATTTTTTATTATATAAGTCGTTTCCTTTTTTTTTTTGATTTAGTGGTACATTCTACATAGACAATAGTTCTAGTGGTTATAAAAAAAACAAGTTACTTTCAAGGGTCATTTAGCGAGTGACGGTGTGAAGCGTGTGGTTGTAACCGCCCCCAGTGTAGACGTACCAATGTTAATACTCGGAGTCAACGATAATAAAATACATTCCGGTAAATAAATAAATTTTGGTGGCATTTGTACTGTAAAATTGTTCGATAACTTACCTTGGCTTTTCTGAGTATTATTTCTATCAAAATTCTTCATATTAGTATATTAGTCTTTTAAATATATAGGTATTTATTCAAGAACCTGAACGCCATAGTGTTCACGAAACTAAATAACTTTCTCCAAAGGGCATAACTCATAAAATTGATTTTATAATTATGTTTTAATCTATTCGAGGTTGTTCATTGGGGAAAATTGTTTCGTTTCACGATTACTATCGAGTTTCAAGTTATTATCCTGTTTCTAAATTAACCTTCATTAAATAAAAATATTTATTACTTTCTATACAATAGTATTAGTTTTTTTTTTATTATAAGAGATGTATGTAAACATTACAGCACAGAAAGTGATATCATGCGCATCAAGTACATTGTACTGCTTAGCTCCGATAATAAAAGTTTTGGTGGATAACTTCGGCGTAAGTGAAGGCTTCATTACAAGCATCCATGCTATGACTCCGTCGCTCAAACCTCTAGATGGGATTTGTTTGCGAGGCAAGGTACGACTTTTTGAGTAGTCAGTCAGCCATAGTCTGTGGTATCCCACTATTCAAAGGCAAAGGTCAAACTGTTTCTACTTTTCACGGTCACTGACCAAGGCCGGTAAATTCGAGTAGTAATTTCTTACACCTACAAGAAATAGGTACAAGTCGTCTAATGGTAAATAGTTTTCATAGTGCATACTTGCCTACAACACTGGGGATGCCACACTTACGTTATTGTCTCAGGAGAATCCTTACGTTTTTAAAAAAATCAGTGATCGAGGAAAAAGTTCAATCAATAATTCTTTTGAAGGAAGCTTCTTACATGATGAATAATAAAAGTATATAAGTTAGTTTGTATTAAAAAAAATATTAAAAATAAATTGTAAGAAATAACCATACTGTTTCCTCTTCTTATTGTACGCACACTGCCCGCTAAAAAATAACGCTCCTTTCCATTCAGGGTTTGCTAGAAGAGAACGCTTACAAAGTTGACTCTTACAGAGTTCGGCTATTATACATCTTTATTAAAAATAAATTATAGTAATGTAATTTTTGTGAACAACAAATATAAATAAATAAAATGGAACATACAAAACTACTCTCTATAATTATCTGTCATAAAATCACATATCTGTTTAATAGAACTTAATGATAAGACAACTAAGGTTTTGTTGTATTTTATGTTTTATAAGATACGAGAACTAACGAGATTATTTAGGTAAACTATGATAATTTACTTGAATAATCTCGACGTTCCGATTCGGTTACTTCGGCCGTGGTAATAATTTAATAATAATAATAAGTTATAATAGAAAGAATTTGTATTTTTTCGTAGTGATAATTTGTTAAAGTTATCAATAAAAGCCCCTCTAGTTAGATTGACTCAAATGCATTGCAGAGAGTTAACGGATGCAGATGGCTCAGAACCGTTCTTTATAACAGCCTATAGGGGAGGTCTATGTTCAGCAGTGAAAGGATAATAGCTGAGATGATGATGATGGGATGAGATGATGATCAAACAAATACTTTAAATGAAATTATTAAAGAAGTGAAACATTCAATCGCTTATTTTGATTACTTTTATTTTGGGTAGTACAAATAAAAAAAAATTATTAACAGAATGATTTGACTGTGTTTTGGGTCGGTCAGTTAAGTGTTTGTATACATTTTCATTAAGTTGTATTTAAAGAGATTATATAATTACTATGTTATAGCACTGGCGCGATCACAGAAGTATTCTTCAGAACATAATACCAGCTAAGACAGGAGCGTGCAAAGCGCTGGGTAAAATCGTGCCTCAGGTTAAAGATAGACTCTGCGGCTTGGCATTCAGGGTGCCAATAGCTAACGTCTCTGTACTTGATCTTACTATACGGTAAATATTATACGTAATCGTACTAATACTAATATTAATAATAATATTATACATGTGAAAGTTTGTAAATATGTTACTTAATTACGCTTAAACAGTCGAATGGATTTGAATGAAATTTGGTACAGCAGTAGTTTCTAACTTAACACATGAGTATATTATATACACGCAAATAAGATTGTAAGAAAGAATAGCTAGTGTCTTATAACTTCCTCGTAATTCTAAACTGTAACCTTTTTAAAGGTTTCGAAACCTTTTTCCTATTTAAAGGAATCTTATATGTGTCTAAGCATATAAAGTGCAGCATAAAAATATGGAACTATATTTAGTACAATTTGGGTATTATTTACTTACAGGTTATCTTCTGACACTACATTATAAGATATTGTTGCGAAGGTTGAAAAAGAGAGTTCTACATCTATGGAAAATATAATAAAACTATCAATCGATGAAGCTGTATCTTCAGATTTTATTGGGGACCGCCATTCCTGTATTTTAGACGTCGAATCAAGTCTGCAGTTGAAACCAAATTTCTATAAACTTGTTTGTTGGTACGAAAACGAATACTCTTATGCTTGTAGAGTAATTGATTCCATAATTTTCTCAGAAACGCAATTGCGAATACCAAATCCCAGATGTAAAATGACATATGTTAGGCAAAAGACTACACAGAAACAGAATATCATACAACAAACAGAAAATACTGGTAAGAAAATATCAATAGTAGAACGTAATAATAATTTAAAAGTTAATTCGAAATTATTAAGTGATGTTTCCCAAAACGTGTGTTTCAAACCTAAGCCACAACCTCATCCTATTGTTCTGAAGAAACCCATATCTGGCAATAATACAGCAGCACTCTTATCATCAAATAATCGTGACACTAAAAAGCGAAATGAAATATTTAAAATATGGAATGATGACAACGACGTGATTAAATCCGTAAATCTTCAAAACAGAAACTCATTTTTTTATAGTTGTGTCGACTCAGTTCCACAGCCGTCAACAATAAAAAGAATTGACAATTTTAAAGCACAAGAGCGTTTGCAAAAAGTTAAGAAAGAATTTTTCAAAATGGTAAACATTACAGAAGATTTGTTAAAAAAATCAAATAGCAATAAAATTCAAATGCATCTTTCGAATCGAATTCTCGAAAAGAAAACTAATATTAGTAGTTCTGAATTGGATAATAAAGAGACTACTAATGTAAAGATAATACCTATAAAAGAATGCAACAAATCTCAAAAGAGAGTCTCTGGAGATTTCGAATCTATTATAACTAATAATAATAGCTTAGACAATAACGATACGAATATCAATGAACACATAAGTTCATTTAGTGTTTTTGAGACGACTAATATAGAAACTACAAAAAGTAATGAAATTCAACCATTAGCACTTAAAAATAATCAAAAACGCAGGCAATTAAATGTAAATGATGACACTAAGAAATTTAAGTTTTTAAATCCAGTGAACTGTGAATTCAAAGAACACGTAGCTAAAACTATAAATACTCTAATAGATGGGCTATCGCAAAATATACAAGTTCAGTCTGTTTTCATTGACAGAAATAGAGACAAACGGCAACATCGCAAATCGACAAATTGGAACAAACTAAATAATAATATTAATGTACATTCTGAACCACGGAGTAATAATGATAGTGGTTTTTTTTCGCCCATTAATAAGGAATTCAGTGAAATCGAAATAAATACAGATAATATATTTTCAAGATTTCAAGGGCCTGAAAACGTTAAAGAAGAAGCAATACAAATAAATGAAACTAAAGAAGAAGCATTACAAATAAATGAAACTATGAATAATCACAACAATATAAATAAAAGTGATGACTCGATACAAGATAGAATAGCTATACCTTTGCATAAAAATGAATATAAAAAGCAAAACAAAGCTGAGACATTTGACATCCAACAGGATAATGTTAAAAATCAGGCATCGAATGATAACCTACTAATGCCGTTAAATAGTCATAAAAACATAACAGAAAGTAAATTTGAAACAATTAATATTGAAAACGAATATCTGTCAAGGAAAACTGACGATAATAATAAAGGCAAAATTCTGCGAAAGAAAATTTTGGACAGTTTGAATAGATTTTCATCTGACCCTGTAGTAGTTATTTCAAATCTTACATTAAAATGTGCTAGTCCTGGTAATACAATTACAACTGTAAACTACAGCGGTGGTGCTAGAAATAAACAAGATATATATGATAAACTGGATAGTACGAGTGCGACTGATTCTGAGAATTCATTCCAAATAAACGAAAGAAAATCTCAAGTTATTCACATAACCGACTTGACAAATTCATTAGAAGATTTAGCACGGTTAGACAAAATATGCAAGATTATAGAAATATCTGATGAGTTATCTGACAAATTATTTTCTGCTTTGGATAATGAAGGCACCAATATAAGAAAAAGGCATTGGTCATTTAAAGACTTGTGCGAGAGAATAAAATTAGACGCCTTTTGCAATAAAATATTTGGTAAATCTAAAATGTGAATCGTGTGAAACACTAAAATTAAACTAAGTGTGTTAAATAAATTTTATTAAAAAATCCAATAAAATTCTTTGTTCGATGTTTTATATTGCACATCTTAAGTACAAAATATAAATGTTATTCATAAGGCACTATACAATAAACTATTTACTGATAAAAAAATATGCAAATATCACAGGGCGATAAAAAGTATTAAAAAATTACAGGTACATTTGTGTTGGAATATTTCCTGAATTATAAACACATTTAAAGCTATAGGTACATAAAGGTAATAAAAGTATCAAAATAAAATTGAGATTTTGATATTAATAGGATAGTAAAAATGGATGTCTTACTGTAATGTCTTAGAGTATTTAAGAATTAAATTACTGACGTGTTGATTAAGTATTTCTTACCCATAATTATGATAAACTAGATCAGTATTCCTTAAAAGTTTTAAATTCAACTCTATAATAGTCCTAGGGAATATAGCATCATCCAAGTCTACAAAGTCTGCTATTACCACGTTGACAGGTGCGAACTGTGTAGGACTCTTCACTAACGGTGGCCCAGGTGATAATTCTGCCAATCTTGGCAATACTACATTTTTCACAGGCACGGCACATTTTTCACGCAAATTTGATATCCATCTGAAATATTTAAATTAGTATCTCAAAACATAGAGATTGAAATGATGTATCTATGTACCTATGAAAATATATTAAGATTATAAATAAGTAATAGGTGATTACTGCCGCGTGTCCTTACATGTCTTCAGGAATCGCTTGTTACGTAACTATACTCGAGCATGGTTTGCACTAGTTTATTTGCTTTCCAAATGTCTGAAGATGACATTTCAAAGTCATGACTTATCAGTATTCAATTGAAATATTATACTGAGAATTACAATATGCTTTCATACAGTGTAATTTTACTATTATATTCAGCACTTGCAACCGAACACAGCCATACAAGCACAACTGCATAATAAAGAGGCATTGTCAAAATCGAGTGGAACCGAGATAGATGAGTTGTCTTTCTTTAATACAATATTTGCTACACTTTGTGTTACTGTGGCACTTACACGAAAGAGTTTGTATTACTTTTTTTTGTTTTTTTCTCTTTTTGTGCATGTTCATATATATTTGTTGTTATTTGTATGCTGTAAGTAGATACAAATAAATTATCTATCAAAATATTGATCATACCTCAGAACAATAAATTGAGGGGTCGGTGTCAATACTGCTTGGTGAACAAATCCGATGCCAGGACGCCTAGTAATGTTGTGCAAGAAGTTGATAAGTCCAGTAGTGCGGTCCTGTTGAGGCCAGGGTGATGGCAATAATTGCGATTGCCAAAACTCACTGATAGCGTTCACAGACTGATACCGGTATACCACTACTACCTATAATGAAGTAAACAAAAATTTTAGCATAATTTCAATTTAAATAATTTATAAAATTGTATACTACAGCTCATCAAAGTATGAGAATTCTAAATTATCTCTCAGTTTTCAAAAACAAATTTCAATTATTCAGACTGATTATTAAAAAAAAAAATTATATCAGCCATTATCCATCAATTGTTGGACATAGGTCTTCTCCATAGGCTGCCATAAGGAAAGGTCCTGTGCCAACTGCATCTTAATAACAGTTACTAATAGTTTCAGAATTAGTAAAAATATATCCATTTACCTGTTGCCTCAATCTACTCAAAGAGTTAAGTGTAATGGCCTGTAAATCGATTTGTCGTGGAACAAGTTTAGTTCTAAAAAGATTGAGTAAGTATCTCATTAATTTCTGGTGATCTTCTGCTGTGAAACCATAGAAATGCTGAAGATCCAATATGACTACCTGGAATCATGTAATAAAAGATTTTAACGCATTTAAATGGTTAAAAAAAAGCGTACTCAATTCGATAGTATTTTCTTTTTCGTGTGTATGTAAATTGTTCAGAATTGGTGAAGAAAAAAACTGCATGGTACACTGTGTTTTTTTTTTATAATTCATATTGCAACAAATTTTGGTTTACTCCCCTGTTGATCTCACATACATTTCTACCCGATTGAAGTAGCTTCAACAAATTGATTGGCGGTTGTAACTCCTTGCAATTTTTTACCCAGTCCCGTTTACCCCTATTACTAGCAATATCAGGTTGTGCTCTATGGTGCTTTTCAAGAAACTGTCATGGTTAATAATTAGAGATAAATAAATAAATAAATAAATAATGAGTCAACTTTAGACTATGAAGATAAGTACGTTATACTCAGTCATGGGGTCAACTGACTTGTTTTCTTTATTACCCATTATAATCACTTCACTGGCGATTGGAACTTATAACAACAGAATTACTAAGAAAATGCATCATAACGTTCATATAATACTAATTTTTAATTTTTTCTATTATTCCTTTTGAATGGTCCATTTTCCAACAATTATAGAAATAAATAACTTACTTCTCCAGGATGTGAATCAATAAAATCCTTAATTTGTTGTAATGCTTTAGTTATCTCTTCAGCATAGAGTCCATGTGTAAAGAAAAAGTTGCTTGCATCCTTTTTTGTAGCCAACCGGAGATCAAAATATCTGAAATATTTTTTTTTATTTTTAGTTCCTGTCTATCATACAAGTTTTAAACACTACAAATGGCATTTATTAATAATTATTGATTGTGAATCTTATCTTCAAATAAAACTCTATGCCAAGCCATTTGACCTGCTTGGTAATAGTAAGCTAATATCCTCCTGTAATGGCTAATAACACACCTGTCTCCAACAGTACATTAATTGGTTGTTACGGTATGGTATATGTATGTATGTGTTAATTATTTTGTTAGGAGTTTTAAATTACTTAAAATTAGTAAATAATATATTGATTAAAGACAGAAAGCAAGTTTAGAATAATTATAAAACTATTTTTAATTAAATTTTACAAAAATAGTAGAACACATTTATGTTATTTTTCAGAAAATAATTATTATTATTGGAATATAAAATATATACACATCATATAAAAGTTGCGACCTTGGAGAAATCTGGGATCTATAATTTGATTTCTTAGATTCAAGGTATTCTATTGCAAAGACCAGGCAATGGATAAGTTTCATAATACTACTATCAAGTACTATAACTGAGTAGAATAAAAACATAAATTAAAACTAATAAAGAAAGATACATCAATTCATTTTTGTATCAAAACCTTTTCAATTGTGGGAGTTTGATGTCAATATTTTTTAAATATATAATTGACTAGATGGGGTTTTTATATTTTCCTGAGCAATTTTTCTCATCAGGTTCTTGTAGAACCTATTATAATATTATTTGAAAAAACTCAAGATTGGTTCAGTCATTCTTGAGTTTTATGCTCAGCAACATATTTAATTTATTCTTATTTTTATATAGCTTTTACCCAAGACTTTATACATATGACCTGACCGAGATAAAAAGCAGCCGATATCCTTCTTCATCGCATATAGTACAAGTATATCAAAATTTCATAGTGATTAGTTAAGTTGTCAAATCATTAGGGTGCTACAAAGTAATAAACAAACAAACTTACTTTCATATTTATAATATTAGTGATTGTCCATTATTTTCATACATAACAATAAGGATTGTTTTATATTTGGATATGATTGCAGCAAAAACGCGTTAATTATGTATATTAAGTTTAAAAACAACTATGAAAATTTTAGTTTTGCATTATGAATGGAGCCAAATTATGATGATGTTATTACTAATTAGTTTGATTTAGATGTTACTAATACCTAATGCCAATGAGAAGTTGTTGCTGGGTATCAATAGCTTGTGTTATGGTCCAACGTATGATCGTACCTCGGAACAGAGGGTACAGTCTGTGCAGGATGGGTTCAGCGTCAGGAGCGAGGCCACTGGAACGTGTTATACCATACGTCATTGAGTCATGGCTACCTAGAAATTATTTTTACAATGACTTTAATAAATGGTAAAATGATTATAACTTTTTTAATAATAGAAGAAAAAAATAATATAAATATATATATAAATATTTTTAGTTTTATTAGAGAAGTAAATTTTTTTTATACAACTTAGAATAGCAAACAAGCTGTCAGCCCACCTGATGGAAAGTGGTAACTGTCGCCTATAGACATGAGCAGTACCATGGACATAACAGAGTATACTGTTTCGCCCATGATACTCCCCATGTGTTGCCATTCCTGAGGACTCAGGTGTTATTCCTCTGTACCCTGTAAATTCACACCATATCCCATCCTTCAAACCAAAACACAGCCATGCAAACACAACTGCTTCACGGTAGAAACACGAATGGGACAGAGGTACCCAAGCAATCGATTTTAGTACAAAGTCTCCCTCTGGTAAAATTCAATTAGGTAATTTATAATTTAGATTTCAAACTGAGCCCATTTTCATGCGTATCAATGTGATTAGAAACTGTTAGAAAACCTTACTTTATAGCAATTTTGTATTAAGTAAATAAAAGTAACTTTTATAGGGTTTGATACCAAAATGGTAAACAAAGGAACCCTTATAGTATTACTTTGCCTGTATGTGTATCACAACTTATTTCAAATACAATTGTGATAGATTAGAAATTTACAACAGTTATAGTAAAAGAAATAACAAAAAAATATTTATATGTTCAAAAAGAATACTCAAAATTTTAAAATGATTCTATTTGTTCAAGTGGGGTATCACATTATAAAAATATGTAAATATTAAAAGAAAAATAAAATTATGTTTGTAACTATTACAGTTTTTAAAAATTAACAGAAATTTCAGCAGACAAACTTAATAATGTAGTTTTCTTTTTAACCATATTTATGGCTTTATTACTATTACACTTTCATACAAAAATTGTATATTATTTGTATGATGTAGAAATATGAGTAGAATATGTATTAAATTTTTAGTCATAAGTTTATACAAAAGATTTTGAGCATAATTCCATGGGTATGATTAGAAGGAGATTTCTTTCAGCAAACCTTTTCAAGGGAATTGAATTGTTATTTAAAAATAATAAATTTTGTAAACAGACTAATAATAAAAATATTGTAAACAAAATAATAAATAGGGTAAACATAATTATCATTTTTATATTTTTATATAGTAATAAAATTTCAACTAAACATTAGAGATTAATTCTGAGGCTCTATTTGTCCTATCTCTAAAATGAATATGTTTGGAGAATTGTGCTCCAGAATTGATTCCAATATTTAAGAAAAAATGATATGTGAACCACATAATTAATAAGACCATAATAATATTTTTAGAATTTTGTCTTCAGTTTTTATGCATAATCCAACATTACACATAAACTACACCAAATTAGATGAGGTTTTCACAGTTGTGTTCATAAATGCTGAACTTAGTGAGTGAATACCTTTAGGGATGGGCTTAATATTCAGTATATATTTTATTACCTACTTTCAAAATATCTATCTTTGTCTGCAAAGCTAAAGACAAAAACTAGTAAAAACTATTAGGTATATAGTAAAATATGGGGGATCTAAAGATCCATCACCATTTTTAAACAATCATATCTGCATCAGCTATTTGAGAATAATTATATTTCAAATATAGTCATAATCATGCTATTGTTGGTCTTGTGAACAAAGGTCACTTAGACTGACAGGAAACTATAAGTCAAAAAACAAATATGGAACTTATTTCAAAATTAGCATGTTCCTACTTAATAACTAAAATAATTTAAAGTTATTACCTGGTATAGCTAAATAAATCAAAGGAATATCTTTGAGTTGAGCTGGTAAATCTCTCATCCAGTTCTCCAAATCAAGATTTTGTGCTGTGCTATCTTTCCCCATGACAAAAGCTGAAAAATATTATTTTTATATACTTACAAACAAATCGGCCAAAATATATCGTTTTAAAAATAAACCACAGTACAACTGTTCTTAGAATTAATCCAAAAAAATATAACTGATATCAAGCGCAAAAATACCTTAAAGGACCTGCCGAAAGGGAATTATAGACGAAGTTGAATGTAAGAGCGTGTAAACGATGTAATCACGTCAGCAGTTCATCTAAATTTAACTCCGCTCGCCCTCCAAACATTAGGTTTGGATTGGTCCTTGATATTACTTCCATATATAGTAAATACTTTAAATATATTCATGGTTTTTATATAAAAATATTACACTTCAAAGATAAAGCAAACAGATATTTTTTGATTTGACAAGATTATGTGAATCTATTGGAAACGTCTTTAATCTTTAATCGGGATTCTGTTCCCGATGTCTATTTAAATTGATAGGATAATCTTAAGTAGGCCCTTTTGTTTACTTCTTTTTACTTTTTTTTTTTTAGTACGTTTGTTCCGTTTGGAACAGGCTAAGGTCGGAGACCATGCTGCCTAGTCTTCAAAAAGATAATTTGTCTGGAATCTTCTTTTTACAATATAATGTCACTGTCATTGTCAGTTAGTTGTCATACCATACATTGTATTTTATGCATTGTAGTATCGTGCGAATGAAAGATAACATTTGCACTTTCAATCATTCTAATCAATCAATATTTTTCGTGATTAAAATTTTGTTGAATCTGTTTATAAATAAAGTTTCCGTTTCTAATTTAGGTACTTTTTACCGGTGACAGATCATTCTGTCACTAGTGTTATACTATAAAGTGTACAGTAAATAAACCTTTCGTTTAAAGGAAAAACCCAAAAGTTTAAAAATCTATTTCAAATACAAACTTTGTTCTTTCTTAAAAACCTAGGTTCAATAAAATTCTTAAACCAACGTAGTTAAGTAAAACGAAATTTATAATTTAAAATTAATTTCATTTTGAATTATAAAGATAGTTTAGACACACGATCTATTTCATTACGATAGATCTGTCTAGTTTCCGGATCACACCGGACATATATTCTTTTATTGTGTCTACTTACACATACATAGAGAAAATACTAAATATAAAAACTTATCATACATTCATATCCAGTATTTTTTTAAAACCACTTAAAAACAAAGCAACGCCACTTGCCTTTTGGGAGGAAAAGAAATCCCTTAGTATTAGTTTATACTAATCTTTTGGAAGAATCAATAAAGAGTATCTATCTATCCTGTCTACAGCACACAGCAGTATAGGTTCTACTTACTAAGAATTGTATGGCATGATTAGTCTATTATTTGAACCAGGATTTAGTAGCACAGAAGATAATATATCCGTTGTGCTATTCGTGGTAAAAATTATCATTTTCCGTACGAGAACAGCAGGTTAGATCTAAGGAATAAGATAAGCATTTTTATAATACAACTTATAATGACAAATAAGCTTATGATCAAACAAATGAAAAAATAGCAACTATTGTTTACAAACATATTAGCACTTTAGGCTTCGTTGGGTACACTTTGTTGACCATAGCATCGCATGCGTTGCCATTCTTGCAAAATAAAGTTTTATGCTTTCTTAATAGTTTCATTACTATATTTTATCATGAAGACTAAAAATATAGCGCTATGCAATCGTAGGACGTACCATTGTGGTTAATTCCTGGTGAATTCGTCACGATGGACTTACTGACTTGACTTATCCTCACCTATCTCACTCACTCATTCGCTAGTGCCGCGACAGTGCATACCAATAGTGCAGCGGGGTTACCATTCTATTTCATCCCATTAAAAAAATGAGTGGTATAAATTCACATACAGATGATATTTGTACAAAGTTTCTCTGTATCTAAATTGATACACTATAACCTACAATTATTAATAAATATTTTGTTTATAATTTTAAAATAAGTGTTTTGATTCGGTTAGACAATTTAGTTTTTATGTACCTACGCTAATGGCAGTTTTTGAGGTAATGATTATATTACTCACTAGAAGGAAACCATGTGGATTTGCTCGCGCATATATTACGAAGTACGTTATAATATTCAATTTCCAAGGAAATTCCAAGTTTGTGTATTTTTCCTTATATCAATACAATGTCATCTAGATGAAGATAAATATAACACGATTAATAATATTAATGATTTTATCTTAGATTTTGAACCGATTTCCAATAAAAGAGAAGGTTCACAATTCGGTTTCATTTTTATTATGTTTGTTCCCTCAGAACTCTGTTATTTATAAAACAATTTGGATTTTTTTTTTTTATTTGAATGAATATATTTTAATATTAGTCCTATAGAAATTTTATCGAAATCAGTCAAATAATTTAGCTTTAAAATCAAAATAACTGCTTTTGCCATTTTTGAAGTCGGTGTTCTTATTTTGTGGAACAGTCTATTTGCCTTATCATTCTTATACAACGAATATACTCTCAACTCTTATATATTATTATCTTATGAGAAATATAGTTATTAGTACGATTGTGTACCTTTGTATTAGAGGGAGAATTTGTAAAAAAAAAACTCTTGGGTACCTCTGTCCCACTTATGTCTCTGCCGTGAAGCAGCTTTTCTTGCATAGCTGTGTTTCGATATGAAGGATCATCAATAGTTACGTAGTATTTTATCCTCCTTCCATTTTGTTTATTGTCTAAATACGTCTATGTTTAACTGAAAGAATACAACAAATCTAAAACCAGGGAATCATAAACGTTACCTATACGTTTTTACAAGGAACTTGGAATTGTAAACAAGGCAATGGCCCATCTGATAATGTGTCACCTATAAATATGAATAGCGTTAAGGTGTCATCATAGAATACGCTGTGACGCTTATGGTATTCTTCATGCGTTGTCATTTCTGATGACTAAAGGTTTTTAGGTATTTCTATAACCTGAAATTTCATCACCATATTATAACTTTCTGACCTAAACAGAACATTGTGAGAGAATCAAAAGAGGGATCCAGGTACCTATGCAGATCAATTGTATACAGTTTCCCTTTGTATTTTCTACAATCACATATCACTTAAAGTCGTTTGCTTGGGTACCTCTGTCCCATTCGTGTTTCAACCGCGAAGCCGTTGTGTTTACATGGCTGTGTTTAGGTTTGAAGAGTGGGATATGGCGTGAATTTACAGGGTGCAGAGGAATAACACCTGAGTCCTCAGGAATGGCAACGCATGGGGGGTATCATGAGCGAAACAGTATACTCTGTTATGTCCATGGTATTGTGTCTATAGGCGACGGTTACCACTTTCCATCAGGTGGGCCGTCAGCTTGTTTGTCATTCTAAGTTGTATATAATAATCTATATAAATGATATTGGCTATCCATGATATTGGCATTAAAAGGTTAATTATGCAAATGATAGTTATTGGTCTATTTAAGCTCTTTTTGAAACTCCAAGGGTGAAATACGAAATTAATTCCCTTATAGGATAAGTTGTTGTCCCCTTGTTTTTATGACAGATTCTTAAACAAATACACGGTTATTTTTAAAATATTGGTACAGAATTAGGTAAAATCGTATAAGTTCTTCAAAATGGGTCTATTAAGGTTTCTTCAGAGTCGGCAACCCGCACGTGATATACCTGGTGTTGCAGACGTCTATAAGCAACAGTAACAGATTGTTTGCCATCTTCATGTTATAAAAAAATATATTGAGGTATTTCCAAGAGAATACAGCATGGGGTTCTTAAAAAAATGGTGAAGAACTTTCTTCAGAATCAGCAACGCGCGCGTATTGCACCTGTTATTGAAGACGTTCTGAGGCAACGGTAACCACTTATCCTCAGGTGGGCCGTATGCTTGTTTGCCAACTCAATGGTATAAAAAATATGATTATAGATAGATATTGCCGTATATTACTGTTTTAGCTATGGCAATACATATTATACCGTCATAGGGTATGGACCCATTTAAGTCAGTATTTACAAAAAGAAGGATATGACTCTAATGCGAGTATCAGTAAATGTATACTTCAATTTATAAATTTAATACATGCATTAAGTAAGAAAATGTAATGCATACCTATTATAATTATGCAAGACTCCAACTGCATTGCTTCTGTAAACACTAATTTGTTTTAAAACTTGCATATGGTGAACTGTAGTTATCGAGAAGAGTTTCAAATAGTCGTCACTGGACATAAAATTAAATATAAGACTAGTATAAATGTTACACCTCGCAAACATACGTATGTACGGCCGCTGGGGATATAAACTAATGAACCTTATCATGTAATTGCAGTTGTTAATAATCATGTGGCTAGCGAATAGATGCGAGAAGTGACTACGATACGCTGTGCTTTGTCTTACGTCCTAATCCGGCTATTTCTCTTAACCGTATAAGGTGAAAGGTAGACACGCTTGTGATTTTGTATATCTGTAAATACTTCTGTACTTAACTCCAACACTAACCTTGACTTTTTGCGTTTCCCATAACGTGTTCTAACGTCCGTTTTTCTTTAGTTTTTTGGCACTATTCTGTCGCACCTGATTCGATCCACTTGTGGCAATTAATGAAGCGTTACATCTTATAATAACTACAGAAATTTAAATGGTCAATACGAGCTAGCAACTGAGAATTTTTTTCTATTCGGTTATTTAGAATAATAATAGTTGTGTATTACTCACACTGTTTGCCGTGTGGTCTCGGTATAGAATAGGCCACCCCTTCTTTAACCGAGGGTATCGTAAGAGGCGCCATGGGGAGCGCTTATGTTCAACAGTGGGCAGTTAACAGCTGAAATGATGAATAGTAGGACAATAATTTCACGAAATTGTCAAATTAAAATAATAAGACATAGATGACTACCAGATCAATCAGAGGGAGACTTTGTACACGAGTCATTTACTTGACTACCTTTGTTCCATTTGTGTTTCTGCCGTGAAACAGTTGTGTTTGCATAGCTATGTTTCGGTTAAAAGGGTGAGATATGATATTGAAATTACAGGGTACAGAGACATAATATCTTAGTTCTTAGAAATGACAGTGCATTAGAGCTATCACGGGCGACACAGTATACTCTATTATGTCCATGCTACCATTCATGTCTATAGGCAACGGGTACCACTTTCCATCAGGTGGGCCTGTTTGCTATTCTAAGTAGTATAAAAAAGGTTTAGAAAAATGATGCCTCAGAATCGACTTCTATGTCTAGCATATAAATTAGATTGAATACTTATCTGTAATGCCAAAGGAAACAAATATCTTATGAATTTAATTTGTATTGAATTTCAACTAAAGGGCAAATAAATAATACATAACAGTTACGTGTTAATTTGACCTTAGATACTTATAGGTTACCTAAAACAAAACTTGCGTTTTATCTAATAAATGCGTGATGTAAACTAAGTCAAGTTTATAATAATCTAGTCCAGTATCAATGTAACTGTTAGCGATAAAGGTCAATACTAGTATTGCATTGTATCAGCCGTTAATTGTCCACTGCTGGACATAGGAATTCCCCGTAGTACTAGTAGTTATTTAAATTAAATTACATTTAAATTTGTATTAAACTAGATTCATGAACTATGTTTCCTTTGCCTATCTTTTTGAAAGGGTGCTAAATTAACTAGCTATTTATCTGATGTAAGTGATCATCGCAGCGTATGGACGCAGTATCACTTGTACTAACAATACTAGAGGAGTGTGGGTTGTCGGCCTTCTAAAAAAGTATAAATTTTTTTCTTGAAGGTCCCCAGGTCATATTTCTTCGGAAACGTTGCTGCCAGTAGTTCTTCATAAGAGCATGAACAAGGGTACTACCATAGTATTATATTACCTGTGATAAGGGCAAGAAATAAGTAGTGGCTATAATAAAGTATCCTGGCAGGAAAGGAATTGTAACGTAATAGGGTCTAATTGTCTCATTACTAGCAATATACACTATCAGGTCCAACTCCGTGTAGTTTTACTCCGTGTAGTTAGTGTGTGTCCGTGTACCGTGTAGGTTCTTTGGAAACCATTTAGTTTTTGAAAATAAAATATAGACCACATTAATATAGTTTTTTTTATAGGTGCAAGAATTTTTAAAGTCGGACAAGTATTTTTCATTTTATTTATTATTTTTAATTTTAATTTTTGTCGAGGCTTCAGTACACCTGGATGACTATGTTAGCTTCATAAGGAATATCTGAATGTTTGATTTGTCGTGTCAACTAGTCAGCAACATCTTTACCCACAGATATAGGCGTTTGGCATTGTGACTGCCAAGTTGATGAAAGATTACATATATGTTATCATTATATAGAGGCATATCCCCCAGAATTGGCTATCTCAGGTTGCAATTCCCACCACATTTCACCAGAAAATGTAAAAGATCTTTTATTTATTTTATTTATAGCATCGGTTACAAAAATAATAAATACAGTCCGTTTATTAACGATCACTTTATTTATGAATAAAAAAATAAATCAAATCTAGTTTGCCGTTCTAAGTTACTAAAAAAATTTCTTTAGTTAATAGGTAAGATTTTATAATACCACAGGGATTTGCTCTGAATATTACACTTTTTTCTATCGTACCTATCTAGCTACGAGTATAGCAGCAGTCAGCAATGCATTCACTATCGCGTTTGGAGTTGAAGGACAATTCGGTAGGTCAGACTGGTGCAACAATCACAGTGCACATTCATGATGTAAAAACTGTCTGCTCTTAGGGCTGTTATCAAATATATTTATTTTACATTTAATTTTAATTAGTTTAACATCTATTTAAATTTATGCATACCCTTATTTTTTTTTAAATATCGAATAAATATTTTCATGTTAGTATCGTCATTTTTTGGTGACTACCTATTATCTTAATCCCTCTTTACTTGTGTTATTCTTTGCGTACTGTAATCATAATTATAATGCTGTGGACATGTTTTTAGAGCCTCAGCTCGTCATAATAGCAATTGCCTGTTTTTTGTATGTACTTTGTATGTCTTTATTTTTTGTTGTTTCTGTTTTGTGTTAAAATAAATAATAAACAAATAAATTGCATCCTACCCAAGCTTGTTTCATGTTCATAATTGTATATATTGTTTATAATTACAAATTCTCAATTTTTACTGCTCTTAAATGGGCCCTCAACCGTTTTGTTTTTGTAATTTCTAATAGTAAAATAAATAAATGCTACAAGTTCAGACAAAATCAGTTCAGAAGGGATTGTTAGTAATTAGGTCTAACAGCCCCGTCGCTATCAACAAACCCTATCAAGACTCCATGCTGTTTCACCTGGAAACCATCAATGTTATTTCTTGACGCATTCGTTATGGTGGGTCAACTGACATGTTGGCCGCATCATCCCTCACTGATGCCCCGCTAGTGTATACCTATAGCGCAGGCGGGGTTATTATCCATTTTTACCCATGAAAACATGTCAGAGGCCACAAATAAATCTACGAACGTCTAAGGATACAACCCAGAATACCCATAGCCGACTTTTTTTACGCAATTAGCCAGAAAAGGAGTGTAATGTTTTCCTTGGTAAAGTATATGATTTTTTTTATTTCATCTTAACTTTTAAATATTTGAATAGATTTGGGATATCGTTAGAATCCTTACAATATATTGAGATACGCTGATTTTAGTTTTTTTTAAACAGTCACTTTGCTGTAGTGAAGTCGTGTTTTTTTTTTTTTTATTTACAGAGCAATATATAATTGTTAAGGAATATGCCAGGGGTAGTTTTTCGATCTCCGCTGAGCAGCGTTCGGAAAACTATGCTACATCTTTTCATCCAAAATATATCAGAGTTTGAAGACGAAGGTCTTTAACCAGTGTGTGTTGCCAGTGATGGATGGATGTTCAACAGTGGTTAGTTATGATATGGTATATGATAACGACCTAAATTTCTTGATATTGATAAACATGAAGATATTAACAAATTTAAGATTGTGTTCCACAGAAAAAAACCAAGTTCAATTATGGCAAAACCAGTTATTTTGATTTTAAAAGTAAACAACTGAATTGATTAAAAAAAAATTATGAGACTAATCTGTAAGTATATCCTTTTAGACAAAAAAAAAAAACGTTGCAAATCGGTTTAGGATTAACAATTTTATATTAATTTCAAAAAGCTTACAAAAATGTTAATAAAAATAGAATAAATACGCGATTGTTAGCTTCCACTTACCATTACACCACAAACACCACATACTTATTCAAAGGTTAATACTATTAATTTTCCTATGAAAGAAGCTATTCGTGATTTTTAATTGAATAAGATGATACAACTTTATTAGATATAATTCAAAGTGAGTCTTGTTAGTTTTGACGTCACATTGTAATTTTATAATTAGATAATAATATAGCTTTGTTCTAAACAGTGGCATTTAGTTAATAAAGAGGCGAGTGTTTCACAAATGAAATAATAATTCAGTCTTGCAAACTTAGAATAAGCACAATTAATCATTTTATGTTAAAAGTAAAGGTTGCAAGCTGCAAAGCAAACCTAAAATATAGCTTGGACTTATAAAAATTATACAGAAATATTCCAAAATATTCTATTCGATGGTACTATTTTGGGTAATGTAGGTACAACTTTAAGTTAAGATAATATTATATAGATTTTTGTGTAGTCTTAACATTCAGCCAGTTTGGTAGGTATGCACCATTTTTACATGTATAATTATTCCTAAATATTAATTATAAGTTATATTAATACTAAAGTTACATTGCTAAAATAATGGCATGCATGTGCAAATAAATTTGCATATGTAAGTCATTATTTTTCAGTCAATATAGAATCTTCGATTTGATTTAAATTTTATCAAAACGCATGGCTTTTACCTATTTTCACTTGGCAACACTAGGTTGCGGCTAATTAAAAGCAACGAACCCGGGTGCACTGTATTATATTTTCGATCGTCTTTCTTTTAAACCAAATTTCATTAACAAGTTTTATATCTGCAGAATTCAGCAGCAGAGGATCTTAGGCTATTAGAAATAAGCCACAGAGTATTTGAATGAGGGAGCGAATGAGCCGATATGCAAGGATATCAAATCATGTCCCACGCGCCGACGCACTCGCGCCTGCCGAGTGCACCCGAACAGAAATCGATGTCACACGAAGGCCTGCCGGACTCTGACGGCTTGCTAGCTCCCTACTACAATGTCTGCTTTCGCTACGACGCGTTAATGCCCGTTTGACAACCAACGCAAAGCAGCACAGTTGCCCGATATATTATTTCACTTTTCGAACACAACAGTCTATTTTATCACCCGCACTGAACGTCCGCTCAGTTGCATTGGTTAAAAATATTCTATTTATTTAAAAAATAAAGGTTTTCCTCAAAAGTGAAGCGAAACCTAGTTACAATGAGCAAAATAAGGTCCGGTGTAAAATAAACAATCGTAAATGTGCGCTCTGTGTTTGTTTTGTTACGAAAACTAAATCTGAAGACTATATATACAAACTGTTTATCTTTTGTGCTGCATTTCCTGTGAGATGTTAGAGGAAAGTGTCGACTAGTTAGTTTAATTTTGTCGTCGACTGGGACTTATTGCGAATGTGTATTGAAACGTTCATCGCTATTCACGGGCGCACTGCTATGCGCCACGACTTGGTGCATTTCATAAGACACACCTCCTCTGACCATTACTGCGAAGGAAGAATTTAGTTCTTATCACGGGTAAGGACTGTTACTCCATTAAAATAAATAATATCACGCATATTGTTAAAATAACAACATTTATTGATTAAGAACATTCCAGAATTTTGTCCAGCTACAAAGGATTTTTTATGATAGAATCGTCGACAATTATATGTAACACCATTCAGTGATATTGAAGTCACTCTTTACTCATTATTTTTATAGAAAATACTACTTTTAATACCTTATCACCACCTGTGTTTATATTAGTTAAGTACAAATTCTGTTTATTTAGTCTTTAGGCGAATACATTAAAAACTAAATTTGTATACCTCTCTACAGTAGTTTAGTACTACGATGTACATTTTAGGAATCATTTACTATTGATACACACATTTATACTGTGTAAGTTCTTTGTAATTTTAGTTGTTCGTCGTTTGTTTACAAAATAAAGTAGTAAGACCTTGACCTAAATTCGTGGCTAAAAGGTTACTTAGCTTTCTTTTACTGTTTATGTTATGAGAAAAGAAGAGAAAGTATAGGAAGTTCTACTACACTTTTGTTCAGATTCAAAGTGAAATTTATATTTCTTAGTTGCACCTTACTACGTATAAGGTAATTAAACGCTAGCCGTGTCATGCTATTGCAACAATGAATTATTAAATAGAAGTTGAATTATGGAATACCAACAACACACCTAATGGGAGGAAACTCTCGAATACTGCAAGAAAATATACTATTTAGATTTTTAATTTCAATAATGAGTTTAATCTCTAATGAGCTTTTTGACTTGACACTTTACGGATTCTGATGCAGCCGGCTGGTGAAGACTACTAAATGGGCATCAATCAGCACGAAAGTTATACTCAATCAAAGTAGGAGACTTGTTTATAGGCGTCTAAACTCTAAAGTCTAAAATAAAAACTGAGATGACGGTCAGATAAAAGAGGCAGCTTAGGACTCCTAATGAATGTACTCTAGACAGATCTAGAGATACTGTCTAGATATTTTTCAGTTATCTGTTATGCATGATACAGAGACTGAGGCCTTTAAAGAGACACTATATAAAATGGACTCCATGGGCAACTTTGCCCAATTAGTGTAACAGATCTACTTGCATTGTTGTTTAGGCTTGAAGTTTGAAGGCTAGGATGTAGCAGTAAAATTACTATGTACAAATGCATAACATTTGTCATTACAAATACACGAGAAATAGATAACCATTGCATCAGTGTTATGTGATGTCTATGGTCAGAGACAAATTCATTTTACGGAAACATTTATATAATAGGCATCTGTCTACGGCACTCTACGGTATTTTTCTACCTACAAGCGACAGTTGTTACTTTCTGGTGAGACATGAGTTCGTTTGCCATTGCAAATCTAGCGAAAATCATGGAAATTATAAAATTTTGAAATGGTTTGTTTATAATGAAAATGGTGAAGAGCGTTATAAAAAAATCGTACTAAAATGGAATACTTTTAATTTATATTTTAGGAATTTGTGTTTATTGAACATAATATATTTATTATCTGTGGTATTCTTAAAGGACAGAAATTAAAGTACTACCTGTCTCTTTAATATTTAGGTTACAGTAAGTAATGTAAAACGCGTTTTGAATACTAATCTTAACCCTCGGTTTTGCCTTCGAGAATTCGGATATCAAAATGTGTTGTTCCACAAAATTCGACAAGAGAGTTTGTCTTTTTAAGGGTGATTAAGCAACAAACACCCAAACTTTCACATTTAGGCTAAAACAATATTCTAAATTCCCATTTGAAATATTTTTTTCTCAGTCAGAAGCATTGTTCGATTGTTGCCGTTTTTACTGAGTATATTAGACTCTACCACTCTAAATGAGAGGTTACCGAGGCTTGAATTTTGGGTATAGGTTCACGGTACTGGCAAGATTGTCACCGGATTTTTTTTCAAAAATTTAAATCGAGAAAATTCAAACTGACGGCATTTGTTGTCTATAATTCAGGGTAGTATACCACTACATTTAGGTCACAAACTTTAATACACAAGCTACATTTAGATTTAATATTAAAAGAAAGTAGCATTATATTGTTTTGAGTAATATTAGGCGCCTGAGAATCAGACCAGAGCAATAAAAAAGTTTACATAACACAAATCATAATAAGATTTACTTTAACCTACCCATATAAATGTACTAGTTTGCTAATATTGGGACTCAACGTGAGAGGCCTATTAAACTGGACGGATTATTAGTACAGGGTTAGTTTTTTAACCTCTTAACTCTACGAATTACTAATTTATTGAATAGAAAGAGATTATCCATACCAAAAGCATTTTATATAATTACAATATGGTACAGAATTAAGCGGAAAAAACTGCGTACCTAGTGAAAATTCCGTGTGCGTGTTTACTTCAATATCGGGCATGAACTCTCGTTGGAAACCTGTTCCTTTTTACTGCTTTCACATGTAATTTCTAGTTGTTCATTAATTATATAAATCTACTGGAACCATTTCTTTTTATCTGGATAAAAAGTATCTCAAGTTATAGAAATATATCTTAAGGTGGAACAAACAAAACCTGTAGGTATATTTAAAAAGTCTCATTAGAATTGGTTGAGGGTTTCGAGCCGTTTAGGACATCGTAACAAGGGATTTATATATATTAAGAAGATGAGGTTTATGTTCTAATAATATGCATTTATTTTATTCTATTAGTAATAATAATTTTATTCTATTATAAGTACCCGTAACCGGCGAGCGTGTATGACAAGATTGATGAATGTGGAAGAAGCGAAAGAGGTTTTTTTGAATCGAAGCATTTGGCGTTCCATTGTTTCTGCCTACCCTAATGGGAGACAGGCGTGACAGATATGTATGTATGTATTTATTCTATTATTCCATATTATGAATGTAAATATTGGATGTTTGTTATTTAATCACCTTCATACATCGAATTGATTTGCAAGTGGTCGACAGCGAGCCTGATCAACCAACAATGGTACGACAGTTTTCCAGGATTTTAGTTACCCTAGCTTAGTTGCTCCACCTAGCTATACTCATTGTTCATAGGCAAACCGATTTGATTCTTCTCGTAATATACCCTTGTTATTTAGAAATGCTACAGTTTGGATTTGTTGACATTTTCAATTTTATTTACAACAAAAATTAAAATGTATAATCAAGTAGTTATAAACAATAGCTACATATTATAATTATGTCGCTATCTCCCGGATATGTTATCATGAAGTTCATCAGCAAATTGTAAAACTGGTTCTGGCATACACAGATGATAATCAAAATACATAATTTGTAAATAACAATGTAAGATAAGTGTATGTAGATGCTAGATGTCACAAACTCAAGAAATGAGAGAAATAAATTGATGACTGTTTATTGTTGTCAAATACGAGTAGATATTGCTGTCACTCAAGATTAGAATATATACATACATACATACATATCTGTCACGCCTGCCTCTCATTAGGGTAGGCAGAAACAATGGAACGCCAAATGCTTCGATTCAAACAAACCTCTTTCGCTTCTTCCACATTCATCAATCTTTTCATACACGCTCGCCGGTTACAGGTATTTTTAATTTGGCCCTTCTTCAGCACGTCGCCTATTTGGTATATATGTATACTAAAACTCGAAGAACCCTTATATATTTAAAATTTGACTGGAAATTGATTGTTACGTGTAAAATACTTACAAGCTGCATCATACAGCCAATAAGAAACAGATTTTAGAGAATTGCTATATAGTTTAAAATCGATCCCACAATTCTCAAACTAGTTTTTAAATTCTCTATTTTAATTAAAAAAAATTAAAGATTGACATTTAAAATTCGACCTTATAATAATAATATCTCGAGTTACATCACTGAATAGGTTACTAATTAGATTTATTTAATTTTAACACACATTTTTATGTGACAGACACTTTTGTGTAAAATACAAGTTAATTTAAAGAGAGACGTGCAACACGATCATCTGAAGATCGTCCACTGGCTGAATTTGAACCATTTACCTAAATTGTTTACTCTCATAAAAAAATGGAGGTTTGGACTCTGAACCTGGATTTTTTATTTAATTGCTAACCTGAACACGGACAGATAGATAGGTACATACGTAAAAGTTTTTTTTATTTATCTCTTTATATTTTATTGTACATATACATGATGTACTGATGACCTGCCCCGGCTTCGCACGGTTTTTTTTTAAATAAAACACAAGCTATATTTCTCACTGATAATGTAGTTACTGATGTTTTTTATGGGTAACCAGCAATTTGATGGGGGGGGGGGGGGTTATTAGTATTGCGGATTGCTAGTCCCATTACTAACTATATACCCTGTTAGATCGACTTCCACTGTAAACCATCATGACTAATTTAATGAATTCGTCACAATGGGCTAACTGAACTGCCTTTTCATCCTCACCAAACATCCTTCACTGGTGCCTCGTCAGTGTGTATCGATAACACAGGCGGGATTGTCATTCTATTATCATCCAATAAAAAAAAAAAAACAGCAATTGTATGATAGGTAATAGGTTGTTTGGTTGAATTTGTGTAAACCAACATGAGGTACAGTAATTTTCATACTTTAATTTTTATTACACAAATAAAGACACCAAGAATGTCCATAACGCCCGACTCTGTAATAGGATCTAGCAATGTTTGTATAAATAAAACTTACAATTTATATTACTTTTGTTACTATATTATTAAACACTATAACATAATAACATCTTCACCACAGGTCTCTTACGGAGTAGGCAGATATAATCAACCGTCGAACGTATTTTACCGATCGAGACGTACATTTCTTGTTTCGCACACTTTTATAGATATAATCATTCATTTCACAGGTCTGTTAACTGTCTTGGAAGTTACAGTATAAATTGCTGTGATGGCGATTCTCACGTTTGGACCACAATACCTACTTATCATCAGGTGGGGTGTGGTCACTTTGACTAGCCACTTTTAAAAATTTGACTACGTCTTCCGCGATAAGTATCAATTATGATATTATTATACGCGGATTTCCTTTCCTTCAATTTAAACCGGCAGTATGCATGAATAATCTGTAATCATTATCAAATAAATACGCGACATTGATAAGTTAATTTTGATGAAAGAATTTTTGCTTAAAAAACTAAAGTCTATATTGCAAATTAAATTTTTAACAAAAACGAAGGTTAATGTTGTGTTCAAATAAATACGCAATAGGTTTTGACGAAGTTTTTTAATTTAAATTTTTTGCTCTATAAACTAAAGTCTATGTTATTGTCGCAATAATTAATAACAGAATTGTAGGTCAAATGCTTATACCCTGTACATTTTAAAAGAAGTTTATAAAGGAACTCCATACAGCAGAAATTACTGTCATATTATATATATGGTAACATAATACCCTTAATTTGACAACATTAAAACTCGAAAGAAGCAAAAACAACCTATAATCAAATTAATATACGATCATAGATCAAATATATTTAGATGGAGAGTCGTGTGTCAAAAACGTAATAACGTTAGATAACAATAACATATCACAAAATCCGGCAACTGTTGGCTAATTCGTACTTTTTTTAATTAAGGAAGGGCATGCCATTTTTTGTGATGTAAGTGTGAAAATACTAACTGTAATATTTTGATGTTACCTATGCCTTACTGTTATTTTATTTAGGTTAATTTTTAGATGGTCTGTGTACAGAGTTCTCGGTAGACTACTCAATCTACATCTTATTAATCTATGTATACGATATTGATAAGTTAGTTTTGATGAAGAATTTTTTTTTGTTTCAGGAGCTAAAGTCCATATTTTAATTAATAACAGAAACGTACTCGTTAGGTCAAATGCCTACCTTTGATTAGTACATCCGGCAATAACCAATAATAGGGAAATGTAAACAAACGCGAATATATTTACTGTGCCACTGTTAAACTACATTAAACTTAGTCCACTTACAAATCTGCGATTATTTACAAAAAACAAATCAGACATCTCGAAGATGTTCGATTTTGCTACGACAACATAAGAGATTTTTTTATACAACTTAGAATGGCAATCAAGCTAACGGCCCACCTGATGGAAAGTGGTAACCTATAGACATGAGCAGTACCATGGACATAACTGTTTCGCCCATGATAACCCCCATGCGTTGTCATTCCTGAGCACTCGGGTGTTATTCCTCTGTATCCTGTAAATTCACGCCATATCCTATCCTTTAAACTGAAACACAGCCATGCATACACAACTGCTTTACCGTTGAAACACGAATAGGACAGAGGTGCCCAAGCAAACGACTATTGTACAAAGTCGCCCTCTGGTGAATCTACGAATACTTAGATTCCGTGAAATTACTTAGCAAGTTTTTCTTTTACTTACAAAATTGAAAAAAAAAAAAAATGTTTTTTAAATTACTGATATTGTTTTCAGAAGTCGTTTGATTTATGCATGCATGAATTTTATCAAAATTATCAAAAAATAGGAATTAGTTTAAAAAGTTGTTAAAACTTCAAGTTGCGTCTCAATTATGAATAAAAATAATCGCTACCGGACTTCGCAGATCTATGGGCTTTTTAAATGTTATTTCAAAGCTGTTTTATATTTCGAAGAACACAATACGAGTATCAGGTACTACTTCAATATTGATTACAAAACAAAAAGTTCTTTTCCTTAACCTATAATTAATTACGGAAATAGAAAATTTGTTTTGATTTGGTAAATTGAGTTTGTTGTCGAAATAGATTCTATAGTTATTATTTTAAATTATAACCTACCTATACAGACCACTAAATAAACAATCACGAAATAAAGTTATTTTTATTGTCCATATATCGGTAGGTATATTTTATATTTACAGTATTTTAGTATAATAATGTACCGTTAATCTTGGAAATCTTCCATACCTCCCCACGTTATTATATAATTACTCCGGTTTATTAATTTACCTAAGTTAATAAATTTATTATTATTGTAAAACTATTTAAATTGATTGGTATATCGTAAGTACAATAAATCATTAAATATATAATAATAATTGTTAATATATATCCGTGATATTTACGTAAACAGTGAAACAAGACGATGAAGTATGAATAATAAATAAGTAAATCGCATTAACAACCTACGTTCCATGCATTAAAATATGTTTCTCTGTTGCATTCCTTTACTTTTTATTCGTTCTTTGTTTGATGTAAGTAACACTGCAACACTGTATCTTTATGGAAATGTCAAGGAAAAATTTAATGAATGGATAAACTTATCCATTACTAACTGGTAATGACGTCCTCAAAACACAATAGAAATAAATTAAATATGGCTCGACATTAGTATAAGCAATTTCAAATAATATCTCTGATATTACGCCTAGTTCAGTTAAAATGCAATATTCTTGTGTAACAAGAATAATTCTGAAGATGAACCAGCTTCAAGCTAAGCGTTTTTGGTCGTAGCCATATGTAAGACTTAATGCGAGTATTTTATAAAGATAAATACTTGCAACAGAAAATGTGCCATATATACAAATGATAAAGACATTGGAAATAAATTCCTTGAAATTTGATTTTGATCAATACAACAACAGTTTTAATTATAAATACACACACCGACATACACACACATGTTCACACACGCACGAGCACTCGCACGCACGCACGCACGCACGTACGCACGTACTCATGTACACCCGCACACATATACACACACACGTACGCATGTATACACCCATTCACGCACGAACGCACACACACAAATATGCGCACACATACCATGATAAACAATGAGAAGTTTCGTAGTTACTATATTTAAAATATTTAAATTTAGAACGCAAAATTGGGCGAAACATTTCCAACCATAATTAATATGGAACTAACACAGAAATAAAATAATTTATTGCCAATATAATGGTAAAAATACAGTCAGAATTGGCAACGTAATCGCGTAATATGGTTAAAAAAAATTCAGCCGAATTGAGAACCTCCTTCTTATAGAGTCAATAACAATAGCAATACATGTGTTCTTGGTTAACACATAAGGTTAACGCCTATTCGACATAATAACAGATATCCTTTTTTTTTAATTTCTGTTACTGGCCTATTGATGTAATGTAAATTATATTGTCATTAAAGCACCCCTCTCATGAAGGTGAATTGACATTAACTTTCGATAATCTATTTTAAGCAACCAGTGAGACATCAAGTCTCACTGGTTTATAAATTAGATCATGAATACGCATTTAGTACTATATTTAGCGGCACAATGCATTTGTAGCTGGAACGGTCCATTATTATACAGATTGTGCAGTGGTGGGTGTATTAATCAGCAGGCTAAGTAGGAAGGAGCCTACAACGGCAGATTTTAGGGACGGTAAATTACAGGCATTTTTTTGTAACCATGAAGGTACAATTACATTAAAAAAATATAATTAATATGATTGTGAACTACGGTATTGAATTGTAGAGGTCGGTAAGGATGGATTTTGAATAACTATTGGTGGCAAATGAATTAAAATTTAATTGAATGAAATCCGCCACTGAATTGTTGTGAAAAATGAATTTTAAATAGTGTCCTAATCGGGCACTATTTATTTAAGATTGTTAGATCCTGTCTAAAAACCATTCTGGTTCTTTAGCCAACTAACTCCATCCTCACTTATTCACTGCTACAACATCAGTGTGTACCAAAAGCAAAGATAGTGTTAGCAAATTCTATCTTATACTTAGGGGGAGTTGTTAATAAAAGGGGTCCATTGCTAGCATTATACCCTATCAGATCGCTCTCCACACGTTTTCCCTTCAAAAGTCTCCCCACTATTTTTAGGCAATTATAACTAATTAATTGATGTTCTAACGTAACCTTCTTGTTTCAGGTCGCTATTGATGGCGTTAGTCAGCATCCAGAGCGATTGGTATATATATTTCTGGCTTCTATACTGCAAAATATATTCAGCCATTGTATGGTTATTCGGCAATCATTGTCGCGGAGCTGATAAGGTGCGCTCAGTGATAACCGCTGGAGCCGGCGTCCAGTCTTCAGGAAGTATTCAAAGAGCGCGCACGCGTCGCAGAAAAGCGCAGCAGCACCGTGTCAAACATATCGTCGCATTAACTAGGAGATCGTCTGTTAGAAGAATAGTAATGGCACCAGGAGCTAGCACAGCCCACACCATGATGGAAGACAAGGAGAAAACTCTTCATGGAGCTTTGGGTGCCGGTAAGTTTTCACTTATTTATACATGCATTAAGAATCCTCATCGCCCTCCAATAGTTTTATTTACAAACAACGCTTTCGTACTTGCGTAACATTTACATACTATATAATAAGCATTTTGATAGAAGTTTTCAGTCAATTTAGAGCCTTATGTAAATAAGCCAATGACTTGTTAATTCCTTAACTAAAAACTCAAATACAACCTCACACAATTTTATAATGTTTTACTAAGAGTTTGAGGCAATTGGTTTCTTTTCCAATTGGATTAATAAATGTCTGTCCACTATACCTAATTAATTCCTATAAAAAAATTATCAATACATTTATAATAAAAAATGTAATCGTTTATTTCATCATCATCATTTCAGCCATCATCCATCCATTGCTGGACATAAGCGTTTATCGTTTATTTACTTACGTTTGATGTTTAATTTCGTTGAAACATAAATTCATAAGTAACCATTCTCTTCCGCCCGCGTACTTCCTTGACGGTCTACAATTTTTAAGGTCAATAAATAATTGAATCTATAAATTAATATATTATAAAACTAAGTAACTGACTATATCCAATTTCCATAACTAGTATTTATTAAATTTTGCTAAAATTTACATTTAGCCCTTAATATTCAATTAGGTTACAACAGTAGTGTCATCGGTACAAGTGAAATTATAGGTTAATAACTGACTATCTTTATTTCATTAACCTTTAAGTTTTATCAGAAATAATAAACAAAGTATATGGGTTAATATAATTACTTACGTGATAGGTTCTCTTTTTTATAAGTAATAAAACATTGCTTTATCTGAACTCTTCAAAGACAACTTGTCATGCCAAGTTTATTTGAACATTATTTCTCTCGATCAATTAAAAATTATATTGGACGACAATGAGATGATTTTGACAATGTTGATGATGTTGGCAACCGTATCAGGGTTAACTTGATTAGTCTATGCAAGTGTAGCTAACTCCGGTATAAAATTATTACCTTCATATTTGAATATCCGCCAATGATATTTTTTGTAATCTTACGGTTTCAAGCCGTAGCCAGGCAAAATTATTCGTTTTTATAATCCTGCACATATGTACGTATTCGGTGACACGTAGTCACATTCAATTAATGTTGTCTAAAAATTACAGTGATAAGATATATTTAAAAAAGATGACTATACTACTAATGATACTGTATCTTCTAAAGATATTTTGATGTTGATAAATTTACTTACGTACAATATTTACAATCATAACGCAATTTTTAATCTGTCAAGAGCCTTCTGTCTTGTTTACATTAGGTCTTCCTTATTACCAAATTATCAAATCTGATATCGTATCTAATTCCTAATTTGCCTATTGATAAATTATCCTTCCGGCTATAGGACTTTGAACAAAAGTCGTCTGTTTTGCTACCTCTGTAGTTTCTTCTCATTCGTGTTTCTACCGTAAAGCAGTTGCGTTTGCATGACTGTGTTTCGTTTTGAAAACTGAGATATTGTTATATTATAAAATATTATTATTAATTTTCTATTAGATGGTATTTGAACTTACTATCGACTTCCAAATAAGGGTCCAGATTAGTTTTGGTTTGTTTTAAGCCAATTATAATAATTTTTATTTCTAATAAATTAGATAGCATTTATTCTTTAAAACTTTTAACAATAAATATAAAAAATATAGGTATATTTCATTAAAATTTGTTTAAAACGAGAGACCTTTAAATAACTTTCACAAAAATTTTTTATCTTCAACTACTTATCGTTGTACGTCGCTCTCAAATAAAGTCTTAAATTCTGTGTTATATTTATAGGTCGGATTTATTCGCCCGCTTTTGTAATACTAAAATTAGAATTAACTTTCAATTTACATACAAAATCATCTGTTGCAATAATAAGTACTTTTCCGTAATGGTACTATCATGTACAGGCGTGATGACTGTAGATACGCTAATGTCAGAGATCGTCGGATATCTTATACATATGTACCTACCTATATATCTACTCATAGTATGAGAAACGGAATTATAAGACCCAGACATCTGTAAATATTATATGTTTAATATCTGTAATACTTTATAGAGACAACGATAAATTCAATTTTTTTTATTCTAACTTCGGATTTCATGCATAGAATTAAAAACTAAAAATTTACAGATTTTTTTCCACTTATAAGCACGTGAATTTTTTTTACTAATAGTAGTAATAGTTGGAAATGAACTAGTAACAAACACGTAATTTTATGGTTTAGCTGATAAATTGTGTTGGAACTTGGCATCATTTTATGTTTTTTATTTTTATTTATGTACCTCATTACTGGCAATATAAAAACCTGTCGATTCGAAGAAATAAGTATCTATCTATAATGAAAAAGTAATTTATGCGACAGCATTCCATGCATCTTTTAATGAACAAATACAATGGTATATGTTCTTGATATTTTAAGTACTTTCGTAATGAAAGAAATAGAAAAAAAAATTATGACACGATTAAAACACTTATTTTTTTCACACATAACGAAACGGCTGTGTTCCAAAAGTTTTGTTCTGTTTCAAAATTTCGACATTCTTTGAACAGAATGTGGGAGTCATTGACGTAGGTTTACGACAAACGGTGGGAGATTTTTATTTTTAAAATCATTAGAAATGCCTATATATATGTTTAACTGTATGTTCAGAAATTATGGAATCTAAATTAAATAAAAACGAAAATAAGCATGTTAATGGTTATAAGATTAATGTAGTAATGTTCTAAAAGTCTGTTTCTCTGTAAGTTTTCTATGTCTAAATCACTGTCTACCAATATTATCCACTATAAAATACAATGAAACTACTTCATTTATATAAACCTGACATAACAACCGTACGCAAAAGCTTTGTAACGGGAACTCAGTGTGTTGGAGGCCCGGCTAATTCTTATTTTTTGTTAAGAAATACCAGCATTGTAATGTACGTCCATATTGTGACGTCGAACCACGCCCCCGGCCGCGAGACGATACGCGGACGCCACGCCGCGCCGACCCTGACTAGCTGTATTATGAGTAACATTAAATTAAATGTATATAAAACTCTTTAAGCTTCATATATACTATATGTACAGATTACGGCACAATTTTCTATTCTCTCCTTATCAATCAAAATAATGAATTATCACTTTTGATACAAAGAAATATGTAAATATCTAATAAAAATCAAGATTTTTGATTGATCGTTAGCAAAGGAGATACATTGTATATGTTGTCACTTAATTATCTCTGTACCCCCGTAAATTTATCAGTGGGAGTGTTGCTACGTACATATTATCGTGCCATTGCCAATGTATATTATTTACACAGTTGATAAAGCTGATATAAAACAAAGAAGGGTGATATTATTATGCGTGTGACCTAACGATGTGATAAAAAGTTGTTTTTCTCATAAACTTGTACATAGATATTTCATCGTATTTAATTGAGTTCATTACAAATGGTGACAGACGAAGTGGTTATTTTATTCTTCTAATATAAAGGGAAAATTTGGATTTGAATCTATTTTACTTAATCATTTAATTTTCTGTAATATATTTTCATAAATGGCTTCATGATAAATTAATGTGATAACTTTGTTTGTTCTAAGTAAGCCTTTAATTTTATCAGAAATTATTGTTATCTCACTGAAATGTATACATCAATTATTGCCATACCCTTATTAGATATTGCTCAAGAAATAATTGCTTTTTATAAGCATATATGTCCTCAACATATCAGTTTAAAACGATAGATAATTCTAGTAAATAAAACAACTGAGGCCAGGCTTACGAAGTAGGCATTATTCAACGTTGATAAATTTATTATGACTATGCTAAAATAATAGAAATTAAATTTTACAGATTTCAATTACGATTATATGAATAGATAGTAACTGATATTATTTAATTACTACATAATATTATCTAGCAAAATGCAATAATACGTATTGGTAGTTTCTATTGGGGATTACATTATTATATGTCGAAGTAATGATGATAATTTAAATAAACTAGATTATCTAGTTTATTTTGCTAAATACAATTGTTAAATTTTAAAACAGTAAATACATTTATTTAAAGGCCTTTAATTGTTATTATTAATTTTTATATTTATATTTTTTTTATTTTTTATTTTTTTATTTTATTTTTTTTATTTTTTTATATAAAATTTTAATTACTTTTTCTTGTTATTTGTAAATAAATATTTAGGATAATATTTCAACTAGTAATGTAAAATTTGTTACTGACTAATGTAAATAATTAGTTTTAGCATACATTTTTAATTAATTAAATATAAATATACTTGATTTTTATATCAAACTTATACAGCACGAGCGTGAAAAACATAATTTCATTCTAGTGGTTCCTAAACTTTTCTTTCCACTAATAAAAAGTTATCATTGCAAAAAAGAAAATTCTGCTATACAATCCAATTATACTGCAAATAACTGTAGTAAATCAATATTGCTTATACTTCATCAGTAAACTATTATAGAACTAAATGGACTTATTTCAATAACTCTACTATCTTCTATCATAAACAAATTCATAATACCTTTAAACCCCTGCTATGTCACTTATTAGTTCACACGTCTTATCTTGCGTTACGCGGATAATATAAATCCTGAGAAAATAATCGATAGGGTCAATTCTAATTAAATACGTCATTCGACCTGCTATTAAGAAACTAATAAATGCTTGATTGACGCACGCTCGTACTGTCGTGTGTAACGATATCCATTCACATCTTAATTGTTTAATAACATGCATTGTGTAATATCTCTAGTTTCTATAAGTACTAGAATTGTAGAGTTGAAAGTTAAAATAATAGATACACAGAACATAGCGGAGTAAAACAACAATACAAAGCGATTGTTAGTGACATGGGTATTTTAGTATTCGCTTTTTATTCGTTTATTTAAAATATTTTATCCTATATTATATTTTCTTATACATACATACTTAGCTTCAACTCATTTTTAATCACCCACTTATGGAATAAATGTTCAAAAATTATCTTTTAACAATTACAGTAGAATTTATGAAATAGTACAATTAATAATCATAAATAAATAATTTATAATCAACCTATAATTTATAATTTTGTTAATTGTTGTAGAAATGAATCGAAATTAATTTATAAATTCTTAAATGTCAAATAAAAAAAAAAACTACAGATGCCTTTACTTGTATGTTAATTTTTCATCAACAATACATGAAAGAAGCTATAAAATTATTTACTGATACATGAAATATATTTGCATTTGAAACATTTCATGCAAAAATAAAGAAAGCATTTAATGTTTACTACAGAATAACTATGCAAAACAACATATTTTTTTCTGTTTTATGATAAGGTGACCGAATTACTTTCAATAATATTTACTTTTAATATTATGCATAAAAATACTTGTACTAGTACAGTACCATTTATCTTACAAATAGATATTATTTTATTTATTAACATATCGCAAAAAGCTGTATTTTCATTCATGCCGATCGTTTAGGTATGTTAGGGGTTAGTAAAAATTCATGTGAGTAAGAAAACCAAAAGAGAGGCCGTGCCATATTTTAAACTGATTGCCCTATGAGTCTAGTAAGACCCTTAATATAGATTACAGGCGGTTATCAACATGTCACAACTCATGACTAGTATGTACCCTTCATCTAAAACATGCGACGAGCAACGTGACTAGTTTGGAGCAAGTAATAGCCTATATTATGTGAGTGCGAATACAATTTGATGCATATTCTGTTGTTTATACTATTTGTTTTTGGGATTATAGTATTTTATACTAGTAACACATTTTATATTATATATAATGTTTGCTACTTAACTACGTTTAAATGAACTAAATTCAGTAAACAGGAGAATTGATTAGTTAGTCTGTTATTTTGAAGGTTTGTACCATTGAGATGTATTTTGAAATATCTCTTCCATTCATGTTTCAACTATCGACAACATTTTTAAAATATAAAATATCAAATTGGTAAAAAAATAGTAAATTTACGAACTTACTACCACACGTTTATCTGGGGCATTTATCGTGGTATTACATAAGTTAAAATTATGTTTAATACATACAAATATATATATATATATATATATATATATATATATATATATATATATATATATATATATATATATATATATATATATACATGGTTATACACATAAACAAAATAGTTAATTACACACCGTATTAAATGTAATATCTAACATATTCTTTGAAGACATAGAAAGCGATTATCTTCTCGGTCGACCGTGAGATCACCATTTAAAAATACCCAGTCATGCCGTGCCTCCCAGTTCCAATAATGTAAGTCACATGGACTATCGCTGGTGGACTACGATATATCTTCTTTCAAAATTATCTATAGATAATAAAGTAATCATATCTACTTATTTCATTAATTATTATTTCATAAATCTATGTCTAGTCGATTACTATAGACAGTGTTTATAAAACAATTGAATGGTGCTGTTCGATCGCATTTTTTTAATATTATACAACTTAGAATTTCAAGTAAATAATGTTCACCGTTTACAGATGAAATTAAAAATGTTAGCATCCTTTGAAGGGAGTGTTCTACCAGCGAAACTGAATATTTTCATCAAAGAAACATGAGTTGAAAGGCGACCAAAAATTTTGAGCATCCCATACTATTACGACGCGTTCACCTATTGAGTTAATATGGGAGAATATTTTTTTTAAAGCCCGCTGTCCTAATATTTTTTTTAGCATCAAGGACTAATAAAATGATAGGGTTAACTGAAAGCCCATGGTTTACTATAATAAATAATTTATTAAAAATAAAATACAATTTTTTTCTTGTAAAATAAAAGTCTGTTATAAACTTTAATTCCACTATTTCTTGTAATGTCATTTGAAGAATTCCTTGTACCCATCATGACTGCGTGATGAGTTCATCAGGAATTAACCACGATAGTTTCCAGTGGACCACGTGGTGTTTAACCCGTTATATTACCTGTATTAGAGTCCGGATTACTAACGACACTTTGCTTTTCTATTCGAAATATTATAAATATCAATATCAATAATCAATAATAATTATAGATTAAAAAAAAATGAATTCGTGTATTTAATTAACTTACCAACATACTGTCAATAAAATTTCATTCATTCATTTATCGGCCATGTGTAAATTGGTTCCTATTTACTTATGACATCTATTCAGAAAGTAGATTAATCGTCTCCTTGAGGTACGGTCCAAAGTCCACAACGAATTGTCGCGTTGGCACGCCTCTCTCGTCCCATACACGGCGACTTCTGACGACTATAGTCTATTTATACCACTAAATTAGTGAACAAAAACGTTTGTATAAAACCTAACCGACTTATTTTTACGATTACTCTATTTAAATTCTTAATATATTATATTAATATTAATTTTATACGCATTCGTATAATACCTATGTATCTAATCGTTATTTTGAAACTGTTGGGGCATATACTTTTATGACAAGTGACGAATGAACGATTAAAACGTTAACATTACTGTATATCTGGTTTTATTTTTATGTCTAGAATACACAATGCAGTAATGAGATGCTTTGTTCTTTTATGTGTCTTATTTTCGACTTGTAATAAAATTAACATCTTTTTATTTCGCTAACTATAAATTTAAAAGGTATGGGTAATTTAGAAATATAATTTTAGCTTATTAATAATTATTTATTTGTCTAATTTCTAGGCTATAAGAAAACAATATATAATTATATTATAATTTGTCAAATATCTCCATTGAAATTAAAAGTCACAAATTTTACAAATTGGGACTTAAGTTTAGCATAATTTTAATTCTATCAATCAGATCGAAGAATGTTTGCTTTCTTTATTGATGTTAAAAAATACATCTAAATTTATAGCCTGTAATTGGATATATACTCGGCATGAATATGCGCTAAATACGAGTTTCAAATCTGGACAGTAAACTGTTTTAATCAAATTTTTACCTTTTATCACAGACATTGCTTTTCGGGCCTAATTTTTTTAATTGTTACTATATTTGGTTAAATTTCATTATACCTTAGTGTATATATTAATTATACTTACTAAGAACATAATGTATCATCGTTTCTCATCTTTAGGGTGTTGTAAGAGACGACTAAAACACTACCAGAGTATAAATATTAAAATAAAACTTAATATTGCCGCTTGGCATAAAATTTTTATCTTTTACGAAGGGAACCATGCCTAGAAATGAAACGTTATTAAAGTAGCAAAAGTAAACCATGTCACACAGTAATATTATGTGTTATGTCTAAAACATAAAATGTTAGTGAGGCAAAAAAATACCAGAATCGACTGGTATAAAACGGGCCAACAGACTTTTTATACTGTCAATTAAGATATTTTATATTACTGATAAAGTGCTGATTGTGGCACCAAATAATATAGCTCGCAAAGTAAACGAGTTTCATATTTGAACAGGTTTTAAAACATCAGACGATGTTGAAATGAATGACGTTGTCGAGGCATTCGTAAGAAGGTGTGCCACCGTGCCGCTGTTTCATTGGTTTATAGTTTAATACAAACAATTTTCCTTGTGATAACAGGCATAATGTTTTATGGCATTGTAACTAGTTTGGTTGTTATATAACACGAATTACTATTAAACATATAACCATATGTTTAACTGCGTATGTAGATATTTTCACAGTGTACTTCTATAATATATAGTTATAATATAGCTGTACTGACTAACAAATACTGAAATGACATTACTTGAGGCAACATAGTATAACTTTTTGTTATTTCATACTAAAGCGTATTATTATATAAATAGTGTCGATTGTGGAATGTACTCGTAAACACACGAAATACATAAATGCATTCTTCACATCTAAAGTATAAAAAGTCGTCACATTTTTGCAATAAAACAATACAGTAGTAATAAACAATTTATTATAATTAAAACGTAAATATCATTATAGTTAATAATTAATAAGTAATATATAAAAACAAATAAATCTCATATAAAACATACACTAAAGATTTTATGTACGGCCTTTAGAAACTTAACCATTTAAATATCATAATTTTTTTTTTCTTTTTAATGGATGACAATGCGGGGCACTAATGAGGGATGATAGGTGATGATGAAAGCAGATCAGTTAGCTCATCGTGACGAATTCCATTAGAATTAACCACAATGGTTTCCAGGGGTAACCGCGTGAAGGGCAAGCTGATAGGGTGTATTACTAGCAATGGGTCAGTTAGATACCCCATTACTAACAATTCCTTTCTTCCCAATCGCATCCAATTTGGTGAGGTAGTTTTTGTGTAGTACTGGAACCAACTTACAGATAAAAAAGAATTGTTCTCGTCAAAATCGTATAGATATTGTCCAGTTATCATTTCATTATATTTATATAAATAATTTTTAATTGTTGCAGTTTCAATGCGTACACGCCACATCAGTCCGTTCGCGCCACTTCTGATCGCGCTAGTGGGCTTGCCCGCGCGCGGCAAGAGCCAGCTGGCGCATCGTCTTTCCAGACATCTCAATTGGAATGGGGAGAGTGCTAAAGGTAAATAGATAATAATCATATCTTAATATTTCGTTTTTTTATGTATTTTTATTTTTTAATAGATAAAATAAAATACAATCCTTAATGCTGGATGTTTCAGTTAGTACTGTGAAAATTAGGAAGATCTTTTAATGGTTGAAAATGAAATCATGGAATGATCCCTCCCCCCTGCCTAAGAAGGGAGATATTCTCAATAATACGGACTACGAGTCCCATTGCTAGTAATATACATTGAAACTATCGTACTGAATTCCAGATGTATTCATCGCGATGGGCTAACTGACTTGCCTTTTCATTCTCACCTATCATCTCTTACTGGTGCCCTGCCAGCGTATACCATTAACGCAAACAAAGTTGCCTATCTATTATCATCTATTAAAAAAACCGCCTGTGCTATCAGTATACGATAACATGGCATCAGGTGAGGATGACAATAAATAGGTTAATTTCGGTTTACTTGTTAGAAAATCGCTAACTAAATCTAACTACATATATTGTTTGTTGAGAAATACATCAACAGAGATACTGGTTCTATATAGTGTTACGTAAATACAATAGAATCATTACCATGACCTAGATGTGTACGCAGTTGATCTTGCTACAGTTGTATCCTGTACACACCTACTACAGTTTAGGATGAGACGCGCTCTACTTGTAATATCTAATAGTTTTAACTAGTTAAAACCCGTGGACTGTCTCGTACAAATTGAGAAAAAAGTACATAGACTATATATATAGTTTCAGTTTAAAGCATAAATGTTTAACACGCATCCAAATACTATTCCAAATTTTTATATTTTACTACATATTTTTTATGGAAATTGGAATGGTAAACAAGCTGATAGTTCATCTGATGGAAAGTAGCAACCATCGTTTATAGATATGAATAACATCTTGGTTATTATAGAAAACACTGTGACGCTCATGATGTGACATTGCAAAGCTAAATTTAGCCATTTCTGAGGACTTAAATGTTATGCCTCCGTAGCCTGAAATATTAATAGGTGAAACTCGCAGCTTTATCTTGTAAAGATAGTATTTATTTTATTCTATCTATTAAAATTTGTACATTTTTTTTTTGTAATATTATGACAATGTTATGCTCTTGTCCAGGATTTTATATACGACGGTAATTTTCTTGCGAATCGGGTTAATGAATCACTAGGTCAAAACCATTCTTTGCTATGTAAACATATTTTTTGTGGCAGGACGTATTTTTATAGTTACAAGTCTATTTCAATGGAACTAAATTAAAATAGAACAATTTTGATCCTACAATAAGGTAGAATGCTAATGTTCAATAGCAGTATAAATAAAAAAATATTAAATCTTTCGATTTCTTATTTTCTGTGATAGTTTCAAAAAAGTTGTTTATGTTTTCATTAAATTTCCTTTTTATTTCCTAATGGATGATAATGGAATGGTAAACCCACCCGCACTAACGGTATACGTTGGAGAGGCACCAGTGAGGGATGATAGGTGAGGATGAAGACAGGTCAATCAGCTCATAGTGATGAATACACCTGAAATTCAGCACGATGGTTTTCAGGGATACCACGACGAGGTCGACTTAACAGGGTATATTGTATTGTGGCAATGGAATTGGTAGTTCGCATTACTAACAATCTCTAAATAAGTTCTTTTGAAATCTAATATAATGTTACTTGTGATTGAAAGAGACTATATTAATTGCTATAATGCTTTACAATTAACTTGTAATTCGGTTCATGACGGATAAAAATAACCTATTTATTCTACATGTACTTAATTAAAAACATGACCTTAATATGTATAAATTGTAAAACAAACCTTGGTCTTGTCAGTCGTTCCAGACCAGATAACAGGATCAGATAGCACGATGTGTTGCCAATGCTATTTTATAATAGATTTAGAAGGTTGCCGCGTTGACCAGAACTGTTCATTTAATCACTATAATATTTTTCTGTAATTTTTATTGTCCGTCTTTTTATCATGTCCATATATAACTCCTAAAACTCTTTCCATGAGATAAACTAACAGCTAGTTTGTTATTTAGATGTTACAAAAAAGTAGTTCAATTTGAATCCCATATTGTAACGTTATAAAAATGTTTTTGTTCAATCAATCGGTTATAGGTACTCTGTTTTTATCTCACTTTAATATAAAAAGAAATTGAGACAGCAACAACATTAATAAATAAAGTAAAATCTAACAAATATTTATTGAATTTGTGACGTTATTGCAAAACGCATAACATATACTCACACAAAAAAATAATGATGATATCTCTTTTGAAAATTGACTTTAAACTCTTTAATTACCTGTTTTGCAAATAACTTCAGAAAGAAGGAAGTTCTCAATTAGGTTGTATGTTTATATTACCTCATAACTTCGTCAATTCTAAACCGACTCGGCATATTTTTTATCTGAAATTGAGTTTTTAAATCAAAACAACTAGTTTTGCTACAATTGAAGTAAATTTTTTTGCTGAACACAATCTTAATTACGAACAATATTTTCAATTTCTAACAATTGATTTATTTCCAGTGTTCGACTGTAGCGAGTACCGCCGCCGCCATATGGCCCTGTATGGCAGCCATGATATATTCCGGGCAGACAACCAGCAGGGTTCCGCTATCCGCCGCCAGAGCGCCAGGGAAGCGGTCCAGGATGCTGTGCACTGGCTGAAGGACGGGAACAGTGTTGCTGTAAGTTATTTGTAGTTTTAGTTTATTTATTAGTTAAAAAAATCTTATTATGGTAAACAAACTTACGGCTCTCCTATAGATATGAACACCGTCATAGAATTTACAAAATATACTATAATGTCTATGTAATATACCATGCGTTGTTTTAAGTAAGATAAATTAGAGTTTGTCGTTTCAAACAAGTTCTGTATATATAAATAAACGGAAACATAAAGGTCAAAATATAGTTAAACACATTTTAATTCTATAAACATAACTATACTGGGTGAAACCAAATTAATGAATTATTTTTCCAAAAAAAAAACAGGGATTTTGGTCAATAAAAAAAAAATGAATTTCCTATAGATAGGTACTAACTTAACAAGTTTAAGCTGTTAAAAAGCTTGTCATTTTTCAATTTTTGATACACGATACTTCTGTCCTGCTCGTATATTGTATAGAATAGATTGTTCCTTATAATCTAATAATCTTTAGTTTAACGTTGATAACGGCTTTGATTTCACCCTATGTATGATTCTTTGTGTGACATAGACAAGCATACCTACACTAAAAAGGTTTTATATATTCGAATGAAAAGAGAAGGAAATAGTTTTGACTATATTTGCGGGAAAACGGGTTTTTTCTTCAAAAGAAACAGCGGTGACGATTGCGTATATTCTAATTACAAGTTTAGTATTAAATTATCATTGCCCTAATTAACCTATTCGCAGAAATATTTTATCATAGTTCAAGAATCTTCTTAAAAAAATGTAAGTTACTTATCAAGTTATCAAACATAAATACTGCCTAATTAAATTTATTTAGTTGTTCCCTCACATAAACATGATACAGTTTTGTTTACTTACTTGTTAGCAAAGTCGTTAATGTTTTATAAAAAAAAAAGCCGATTAAGTGCGAGTCAGTCTCACACAACAAGGGTTCTGTACAAAATCACGTTTAATTTTTTTTGTAAAATAACTACAATTTTACAGTTTTCGGATTTTCCCCCTACATGACATTGCTTCTTGCCAAATTTCATGATTCTAGGTTAACGGGAAGTACCCTATAGGTTTTGATTCACTTTTTGAATGACAGTGATTATGAGATATGAATGGAAGATAAACGGCCGTATTTTTGATTGCGTCGATTTAGAAGCTTGATTTTTTCATTGCTTTAAGAGATTGCAGACCTGAATATGTGATATTAATTTCATCTTGATACTTCCATGCGTTCCTAATAAAACGGGTCTTAACAGACAGATGGACGGACGAACAATGTAGTGATCTTATAAGGGTTTTGTTTCTTCCTTTGGCAGTACGGAACCCTGAAAAAGTACGTAACAGTAATAAATAAATTATGTTCAATTATAATAATTATTTATAATTAATTATATTGCGTGTTAAACTATTGATTGGTTTTCAATAATTATAAGAAAAATAGATAGAGATGCCTTGATTATTTTCTCAGTCACGTCTAATAATCACGAAGAATTTCCTTCTCTCCATAACAATCATGCGTGTACAGTATGTACATACGTACACGTGGAAGCAACCACCAGATGCCCTCACGATATCTAGAGCATTAGAAAAGCTTTCGCAGTTATATGCTTACGTCATGTTGCGTTTAATGACTACATCAACAGTATTGATATATAATTATTATATGATAATGATAAGACATTTGACTTCTTTGATTATTTCGATTATTACATCCTAGATCAAAGTAAACATTAATAAAATTATAATAAATGGGTACTAATTATGACTAACTATCTATAGTTAGGAGATTTTTAGAGGATTTGCTCGCAAAATTTTATAAGAAAGCACTATACTATAAGGTCTACTTTTATACTAAATTTCATTAAATATCGTTAAGCCGTTTAATTACAATTGAGTAATAAATAAATTAAATAATAAAAACTGCAGTATAAAATCAAATATTTTACAAGTATTCATGTTTATAATTACCTAATGTCTAATTTAATATTTTTTTTTTAATGGATGATAATGGAATGGTAACCCCGCGTGCGCTAACGGTATACACTGGCGGGGCATCAGTGAGGGATGATAGGTGACAATTAAATGACAAATCAGTTAGCCTATTGTGATGGATTCACTTGGAATAGAACACGATAGTTTCCAGGGGGAACCGCGAGGAGGTCGACCTGACAGGGTGTATTGCTAACAATGGGGCTACTAATCCCCATTTTTAACAATCCATTATCCCCCCTCTAATTTAATGTGTACCCTAATATAACAATAGAAAATATGATTTATCTAATACTATCCCAAGTTTTACATAATTTAGGACTAGATGGCACTGTAAGGCGTGTCCACGACTATATATTTATTTAATGGAAATTAAATAATAATTATATAATAATGAGTCTAGAAATTATATAATGAATGATCTTACATCAAGTAACAATTTATCTGCCGATATTTCATTATCTGACTATGTTGAAGATGAAATCATATTTATTAATAGCGGCACAATGTTTAATGTTTTAAATCGTTAATAATTAAATATTGACAAAGTAGCGTATGGTAGTTCTTTAGTTGTGTTTTATAAAATAATTGTTTATTTAAATCTAGCTGTTACTCGCGCCTTTGCACGCTTGCTGCCAGTTATATCCTGCGCATTATATTTTGTTATATAAACTGTCCTCTTGAATCACTCTGTCTATTGATGATAATCGCATCAGTTGCGTAGTTTAAAAGATCTAAGCGTACAGACGGCGACAAGCGACTATGTTTTATACTATTTAGAGATAATCAGGAAATGCGATTATGATATTTTAAAAGATGACTGTTTAAAATATATATTTTTTTGCTCAAATCCCTTTTACCCTACTGCAAAAAACAGGAAAATAATGTTTCCTGTTCGTATACCTTATAGGTATAACACATTCAAAATGTTGGTGCATATACTATATAAATATCTCGATAGATTTTAATAAGTCAAATGGCATGTCAACAGAATCAATAACTTAAGATTTTGCTCCCAAAAACTAGTACTAATACCAAAAACTAGTAGTAACTTTAATCGTGAAAAGTTAAAATAGACCCAAAAAAGGAGCACCTAAACTCTACTCATTGCAAATAGATTTATCAAGATAAAAGTACAAATGAATTGAGGATCTCTTTCATTTTGCAAAGAGTGCATCGAAAAATTACGTCCGCTTGTTATGTGAAGAAAATCTTTTACAGATATTCGACGGCACGAACATAACTCGGGAGCAACGGCAAGACCTGAACAGCCTTAGCGAAATGGGGTTCAGGATTCTCTTCATTGAATGCGTCTGCGAGGACCAGGATCTACTTGAAAGGAATATTATTGAAATTCTTCATTACTCTGCAGATTATAAAAATATGAGCGAGGATGAAGCGGTGGATGATTTGAGGAAGAAACTTGAACATTACATGAGGCAATACGAACCTATTGACGCTAGTTTGGAGAATATAGGCTTCGTTCGTGTGGAGAACATGGGAGAGACCGTGACGGCGCATAAAGTCTCCGGTCAGAAGGAGTCGACCATCCTTGGCTACTTGTCCGGGATGCGAGCTCTTCCGCAAACTTTGTATTTCACCAGGGTAAGTATTATTAATAATTTTATATATAGTAGTAGAAACTATTAAGTCAAAATAAATTATCAACAAACAATTGAGATTTAAAAAGGCAGATAACGAATAAAATTAATTCGACTAACAGAATTTTCCATCCTCTGGCATATTTAGTTGATTTTTTTGCTCGGATGTCTTAGAAAATATGATTCTTGCCGAGCATATCGACGGGGTTTCGTTAGTAACTTCACAGATTATATATGCATTGTTAGGGAAATAAAATAGATTATATAAAATTTACTCATTAAGTCAAAATAAATTATCAACAAACAATTGAGATTTGAAAAGCCTCTGTCATATTTAGTTATGCTCGAGAAAATATGAGCATATCGAGTAGAATTATATATGCTAAATAAAATAGATTATATAATCGACAATAATCGACAATTACCTCTGACCTGATTATTCTTTGGAATCAACTTCCAACAGCAGTATTTCCGAACCGATACGACAACATAACCTTCAAGAAAAGAGTATATTCCTTTTTACCGTCATGAACGAAATTTTTTTTTTATGTCCATGCTCGTTTGATTGCGTTGTAAAAAAAAAAAAAAAATACCTCTGATTATGGCTACCACATCATGAATTACCGTTATGAACGAATTTTTTTTATGTCCAAGATATGTTATACTGTACTCGAATTTGTAGTGTAGGGTAGATATCTATATTTCTATAAAAATAATAAAAAAAATGAGGGAAGGACGTCTTCAAAAGAGAAAATAGTAATACATGAATGTACATAAAGAAAATGTTAAGAAAGTAGGTCAAAATATAAACAAGTTGCGTTATAACGTTCGAGTAGTTTCTATCTTTTAAAAAGTTTTATATAACAAAAGTAAAATAAAGTAATATTCACATTAATTTTATTAAAGATGACCTTTTTGATAAATAAATATTAGAATATTTATTCGTCATAACATGTTCTCTGATAAATCAATTTATATAAACATGTTCATTCCGTTAAAACATTAATTAGGTGTACACTTAGATCGCATTTAGATTTTTTCTAGAAAGTGACAGACAAAAGCTGCTCGTGATATAAAACTTGTATACATAAAGAAATATTATTGATTTCAGCAATTAGTACTTATCACGTTGTATACAGTAATTAATAATAGACATAAAATTTTAGACTGGAATTACCGAAGTCTTCAATGAAACACGTTCACAGTTTACACTTATATAGTAGATTTTTATTAATAGGTTATAGGTTTAATTGTGTAAATCATTACAGAGGTTCAGTTTAAGCTATTTTAGTACACTTAAATGTACTTCCAGTTTATCTTTTCTTCTTTAGTGTCGTATTAACACGAAGGAAAGAGAAGAATTCATGCGCCACTTTAACTTAAATAAATTTAATGTTGGTCTTATTCAATCTATGTTAGCTGAACTTAAACAAGAAATTTTTGAACATCTCTGTAAATTATTGATGCCCATTATTTCTTCTCTTTCCGCGTCTAGGGAAAGTAGACAAAGTTTTGTTTGAAAAATCAGTTCAGGGTACAATAGGACTGATATACCTGAAGAAGGTAAAAGCCCTATAGAAAAAAAAATAAAAAAAATCTTTTCTTCTTTAAAGTTGATACTAAATTATCTTAGATTGTGTGAGTTGAATATTGCTTAGCAATATTACCAAATTTCTGATATATTTAGACCACCGATATCTATGGCAATTAATGAATACAAAATATTTCCTATAAATAAATTAATAAATAACTGATTTTGAAATATTTACGACAAATTTATAAAAAATTATACTCTAAATATTATCTATATTTTTTAAAACTAAAATTTGTTATTGTTTTGTGAGAGAATCTAATAATATTTTTTTTGCATCACCAGCACGGAGAGAGTGAATACAACGTGCTGGGCCGCATCGGGGGCGATGCTGCACTCTCTGCTAGAGGGCAGATGTATGCCAGGGCATTAGCTGAACACATGAACGGTCTCGCAACGCGCGAACCGTTTTCTATCTGGACGTCTGAACTGCGCCGGACGAAGCAAACTGCGGCCGACATCAGAGCGCCTAAATGCGCAATACGAGCACTTAATGAATTGGACGCTGTGAGTATCACCTTCATTTTATTTCGCGTTGACCTGATGTATAATTGGTTAACAACGTAGTAATCTCCCTTCGCTACTGTTAACCAATTTTATTACAGATCAACGTTCATAAAATTATAATCGTTTATATCGTCGTATATCTTTTATGTAAGTTCAATTTTCCAATTATTTACTACTACTTATGTAAGTGTGACGCCTTTAGTATTGAATATTTCAATAAAATATGACGAGATTGTAATAAAACGAATATATATACAAATTACAAATAACACATATACAAATTACTAACATATATTGTATAAAAAAATGACAAATTTAATAATTATAATTCTAGGTATATTTAATATTCTTCTTATGCATCTAAATATTATAACCACACTTTACCTGTTATTGTGTTATATCAACTGATTAGCGGCACACATAAAACAAGATTTATAAATAGATATAACCAATAATCCTTTAAGCTAGGGGCCTTATCACCACATATCTAAGAAAGGAACTACCTATGACTACATAGTGTGCGAGATCCTTTAAAAAATACATATATATATCATTCATAGACATTATCTTAACATTTATTGACTCATATTTACTTCATATCAATAGATTATGTAAAACACATATATAATATCATTAGTAGTATATGTATTTCATACAGGATTCACCACTTTTATTACTGCAAATCAATTATTATAACTATCAACGTACTTAGTTCTAAGACATTTTATTAAAAAAATCTTAACGCTGACTGGAAGAAAACGTCTTAAACTGTCTCTACAGTCTAAATCTAGTCTAAATTCTAGCTAAACTCCCTCTAGTTTAGAAAATACATTTAGCTTCAAATTTGGCAATGGTGTACCTTATGTTTAATTTAGATAAACAATAAGGGAAAGGATTTTCCGAAACATTCCCCAAAATAGAAAACAATGATAGCGGATAAAGAAAATATTATCTCTTTATCGACATATTCAGATTTTTACTTCCCATTTTTTTATTTTAACTATCGCAATTATGTACTTAAATGATATAATATTGTTTTCTATAATAAACTGCGTACATAAGAACTTAGGTATCTAATATGCGCACATATAATCTTGATATGGCGTATTACTTGTTTTAATTAAAGCTGAATAATGATTATTTAATCAATATTCTTGACAGATAATACAACTTGATTATAATAATAACTATGAGTACTGAACTGATCGGTTCCTCTATTTGATAAGTATAAAAATTGATAGAATTGTTTTAAAGTCAACTTTATAAAATATATAGATAATTTTTTAATCGTTTTAAAATTGTATATAATGATCAGATTTTTTGAAATAATAATCCTTCCTTTTTACTTCGTCATAGTCGTATTTGGTTCAACACAATCTATCTGGTAATTTTTTTCTTAACAAAGAAACAGACTGACTATTTAGCATCTTTGGCTCTACGAAACATATTACAATGTATGAAAATTAACAAAATTTAATAATTTTTTAAATTAAAAATTTTATGACAAAAAAAAACAAAAAAAAATATTAGACGCTGTCAACAATATTATTCTGCTTTTTAGCTGAAATCGGTCACAGATTCCTATGCACATAATAAGTTAATTTACGTTATCTACTCTGTAATCCATTATCCTATATCAGTCATATGGCGTGTTGTTTACCATGATAAGCTAATGGTTAATAATAATATGAAAAACAAATTTCCGCATTTATGAAAGAGAAGAAAATTAACCTACATACCTAACTATACCTAATTACTTTAAACTTTTCACTATTTACATAACCTAATTACTTAAAATATAAATCATAATTTTATATGATAATTTGACATAAAGAATATTGTAATTTGGAAAATGTTTGGACTTTATAATTGTAATATAATGTAGACTAAATACAGTTTAACATTTGCATACCTCTGCGGGGTGCTGCATGTTACGTGTCTGTATATGTAGCTTTTTATTGTACCATGTAGCAAGCGAATAAATATGATTTGATTTGATTTACAAACCCACTAATATAATAAATCTGAAAAATATTTAGGTATTTGTTTCCTCAAATAAATTGTAATTAAATTTACATATTCTGATTTATTTAAAGTCGGTTGCTTTCCCACGGATCTCCGTCAGCCATTATACCTGGCTCACTATTCTTTTACGCATGTCATCTTCCCTTGAATCTATCCATCATATCTTTTCTTTATATATACACATTATAAAATAAACCTAAGTTTACAAATTTCAGTCGCTTCTAGACTTTAGCAGTTTTGTTTTTTTTTTATTTATATTAAGCTGTGTTTTCTGTCGCTATGTTTTATGCGACAACCTTCTAATCTGTATTAATATAACTGTGTATAGAACTGAGGATTTTTTTTTTATATAAATTTGAAAACTAGGTGTATATATGTACAGAAACTTTATGGTCTCCGATTTAAAGCAATTATATAATTATAGATTTGGAATACTTTTTTCCTAAATAAAAACTAATAGGGGGAAAATAAATTTTATCAATTTTATATATAAAGAAGCAAAGATATTATTTATGGTGATACTCTATTGGGTTTTGTAATAGTACATTGTATGCATACAGGTAAGTAAAGTCAGAAATTGTACGTATATATTCATAGATATACATAATAGACTGTATGCGTCATTTCTGGTAATGAATGGTCGTGCGGTCGTGCGATTCACGACTATTTACTGTTACTTGATCGATAGATGTATGTTATACGTATTAATGATGTATTGTTTGACCTACATTATTATGCAATCAAGATATGTCAAACAACAGTAGCCATTATAGTAATAGACTATAGAGTTTTTTTTATGTAACTTAGAATTGCAAACAAGCTAACGGCCCACCTGTTGAAAAATCTTAACCGACGCCTATAGACATGAGCAGTACCATGGACATAACAGAGTATACTATTTCGCCCATGATACCCCCACTGCCTTGCCATTCCTGAGGACTAAGATGTTATTCATTATTATTATATTATATTGTTACTTTGTTGTTAGAGAGTATGCTTCTGAATATATTTGTTATACTTAATTTAGTTTGTGTGGTAACAAAGTAAGAGTTCTTTTTATCTCAAGATAGCGCAATCGTAAGAGGTGTTTACAATACATACTCTATGGGGTCTACTATGAAATGCAATTCCGAGTTTTAGGACCCAATTTCGTGTTTTAGTTCGTAGTGAAATCGGTCCAGTAATAGAGCTTAATATTTCGTACGTCATACATCCTATCATGAAATTCTAATGGAACGTTACTTTATTTTTTAATATTTTTATATATATATATATATATATATATATATATATATATATATATATATATATATATATATATATATATATATATATAGTGATCCTAACATCAAGTTTCAAAAAATTAAAAGAAGTATTGTCTAAACAAAAAAAGTGGTGACGCACGTTGTCTTATTCTTTCTCATGCGAACGTTAAAAGAAACGATTCTATCAATACATTCAGGGGAGAATGCCATAGAAGAAACTCAAATAAGCTAATATCCTCTAATAGATGCATTTAAAATATACCGAGACACACCTGTTTCAATAGAACTTAATTAAATAATAAATTTGAAATAAATAAATTATTATTTATTAATTCATAAAAAGATGGCCAAGTTTTGTTGAAATAATCACAGAAATACTCTCTAAAGAAAATCAGGAAAAATCAAATCACTAGAACATTTCATATATTTTTTGTTTGTATTCTTCCTCTTGGATATTGGCAGACTATCTTATGGTTTATTTCTATAGTATCTGATGACAATATCAGCCGTTACTCCATTGCTAAAAATAAGCCTCCCCTTATTGAGGGGCTTTGCCAATAGTTACTACGCTTGGCGGGCGGTTTGATAACCGCTGTTAGACTTTAGTGATGTTTTAAAAGGGACGCTGCTGCCTATTCCTCGATCATTAAATTCCCATAGAAAGGAAGGAATGGCCAATATACATATGTATACTGCATAAAATTTACATATTATTATATGCATATATAAACTAAAACATGATCCTGTCGCCACATCAACTATATGTTAGGTACTATATTAAACTGAGTTGATGTCAAATGATTGGTCTATCATATAAATTGATCTCCATTCACAGTAAATACTAATATAAAACCGGTGTCACTATGCCATTACGCTATTAGCTCTATTCGTTGCATACAAATTTTAAATTACCTCTATTTTTTTTTTGGCGTTGAAAATGTTATAACTTTTGCTAAAGTCTGCCAAATAAAGTAAAAATAATAAATATTTGCCATCGGTATTTCATATAAAGATAATTAGAGATAATAAAAACATCAATTACTAATTTATTCCAGTTACAACCAATTGGTTACTTATTCATGAAAACCATAAGATGATATGATGCTTTCATAACATAATATCAATTATATAAAATTTACCTATATTCTTTAACTAATAAAAGATCGCGTGATTCGTAACCTCAAGGGCAAAAATAAACCTTATTGTGCAATAAACAGCCTTCAATTTTGTCCACACATTCAACTAATACCTATATCTTACTATGGACTATAACCATGAGCATATATGTTTGTTTTTTAATCTGATGTAATAAAGTCATTGAATATTTGTCCACAGGGCATCTGTGAGGGGCTGACCTACGAGGAGATGCAGGAGCGTTTCCCCCAGGAGTTCGCGTGGCGCGACCAAGACAAGCTGCGGTACCGGTACCCGTGGGGCGAGTCGTACATCGACATCATGACGCGTCTGCGGCCCGTCCTCGCCGCTCTGGAGGACGAGCACAACGTGATCGTGGTGGGACACCAAGCCGTATTGCGGTGCATGCTCGGATACTTCCTTGATGCTAAACTTGGTAAGTTTTACATTTTGCGTCTTTTCCTTTGACATTTTAATATAGTTAATTAATTATTGATATATATTAATTATATACAATTTCCTATTATTTCAAATTGGAGAAGAGCTTGAAGTGGCCTGTATTTTTTTCCGTGTGTTCTGATTTTCGTAATTCTATTTGCAATTACTGTCTTCCTAGTAGTTATTGTTAATTTCAGGCGTCAAGGAAGGTAGTAGCTCAATTGGTAAAAACACCAACCACCAATATAGCGTAGAAGGTGCGGGTTCAAATCCAGCTCAAAATTCTTTAATCGCTCAATAATTATTGGAATATAATGTTCATATTTTAATAATATTTCTTCGATTTGCAATTATAAATTGCAAAATGTGTCTAACCATAAAAAATTTTTATTGCCCTCATGTTTAGATTTCTAAATCGAGTGGCAATTATTTTAATTGCAATTATAGTTTTATTGTATTGTAAAAATTGTATTGTAAAATCTTTATTGTTTATTTATTTTTTTCAAAAGGAAGAACTTAACATTTATATACATATGTGTATGAGTATATGTTACGCGATTTTGATGTCCTTACTAAACCGATTTTAATAGTTTTTTTCAATTGATAGGTAGTTTTTTCAGGTTTATTTCTACGCCGGTCTCTTATTAATCTTATCTTAATATTATGTGTAAATGTCACGCTTTTATTTGTAGAACCAAATATAAAAAAAAATATTTGTAAGAAACATCCACAGATACCTAATACGACGTTCTGTAAATCTACAGAAATATTTAACGTGAACAGTTTTAAATATTAATTTTTTTTTTCCAGATGAACTTCCTTACATGACCGTGCCTCTCCATACCATTGTGAAGCTGACATCCTACGGCTACACATACAAAGTGGAAATGATCAAGATGCCAGTAGACTGTGTAGACACACACCGCAAACAGCCCAAGGTGAGAACAACCAAATTTAAATTTTATCAGGATCCATAATTTATATATTTTATAAACTATGAAGTATTAATCAAACTAACGGTTTTCCTGATGAAAAATATCAAGAGTAGTCTATCATCATCATATCAGCTTTCCACTGTCCATTTCTGAATATAGGCCTTCTCCATAAGGAGAATTTTGCCAGTAGGTGCCACGCTTGGCAGACGGGTTTTTTTTTTTAATGAATGATAATGGAATGGTAACCCCACCCGCGCTATTGGTATACACCGGCGGGGCACCAGTGAAGGATGATAGATGAGGATAAAGTAGGTCAGTTAGCCCATCGTGACGAATTTAACAAGAATTGTTCACGATGGTTTCCAGGGGGAACCACGTGGAGGTCGACCTAATAAGGCATATTTCTAGCAATAGGGCTGTCAAACTCCATTGCTAACAATCCCTTTTCCCCTGGCAGACGAGTTGGCAATCGCAGTTTGGTTTTAGTCATATTTTAAGAAGGGTGCTACTCATTTCTCGACCATTAAGTTTCCTTAGTCGTCTTACGACACTCACGGGAAAGGAAGAGGTCTCATTCTATGCCGAGACTACATGGGAACACAGTAGTGTAGTGGACATTACAGAATACACTGTTTTATTCCTGGGTTAAGTTGCTATATGCTATATCATACCATTCAAACAAAAATACAGCTATGCAAAGTCAATTGCTAGACAGAAAGATTACCCGGACTTTTGTACAAAGTCTTCCTCTGGCATATCTAATTATAGAACTCCTACTGATATTATAAATATAAAAATGTATAAGAATACTTGGATATTTCTTACCCAATAAATTTTAAACAAATGAACGGATTTGAACGAAATTTGTTACAGAGATATATTTTATTCTAATTTAACACATACAAAAATTTTATACTGATGTACCTGAGATAAGCCGTGAAATACAGTTAGTAAGCAATATATTTAGCCAAGCACATTAAATTATCAAAACATTAAATTGATGATTTCCTGCTGTACTAGACCGATAATTTGCAATCTGCGTACTTAATATGTATAAGGTGTATATCTAATATTTCTTAGTCCAGTCCTCTGGACAGTATTCAACTATTTGTGTCAAAGATAGATAAATTTTCCATGCTGCTGTCTAAATTGAATTAAATACATTTGGCAGTCACATCAAATACCTACTTATAATGCAGAAAATTTCCACTACACAAAGTAGGTATTTATTACAAATGAAATGAGGAAAGTACGTTTATCCCTATGCTATTAGCGACGAGAGAATATCGTATTGGATAGAACATAATCATATCTAGCGAAATATCTACCGATAGCTTTGTTCCTTACGATTGTCAGTAATTACGTTTAATATTTAAAATATACAAAAGTAATATACTTTTCTTTTTCACAAATATCTAAATAAGTATTACAAATAGGAAACCTTTTTTTCTTTGCAATGTATAAAGTCTTAAAATATTTAACTGATCCTAAAAATTCTTTTGCATAAATAAGACTACATTATCAGTGTAAAATCGCAATCCATTGTCGACACTTCGTCGCTCCCCTCTCGCAGGCTTGGAGCGCCATCTGCACTCGCCCCTGCACGCGCCCTATAAAACTGTAAAAGCCAACTACTGTCTAGAGCAGTACAGCCCGAAATAAAAAAATAAAAACAGTGTAAAATATAGGCTGTACTACCCAGGGCTAGTTTATGCAGGGCTTCGCTATTCGATATATAAACGTAAAAATATTGCTAGTAAAATAAATTAAGCTATCGGTACATTAACATAAAACAGTCTAAAATCTCACTGTTGTACACAGGTTAATTTCCATAAAAACAGGATAAGATTAAGTATTTACAATTCTAATATTACGTAGTAAACTTAGATCTAGATGATTAACATATTTGAGATTATTTTCCATGGGGGAAACTTGACCTACCTAAATAAAGGGGCATACATACTCTAAGACATGTTTTAATGAAACTTAATCTGCATCCTTGGATAGGCACTAGACAATTCTAGGGTGAGCACAGCCCACCCAGTCCTTCTAAATACATCTGTAATCTAGATCTACTACATCACTGTAACTTTTAGACTGAAACTAAGAACTAACACAGTATGTGTTAATATGTTGTTATATATTGTTGTTACATACAACTTTTCATTTGTTACAGAACTGTTCCATAACCAGAACCACAGCTGATGCGCTGGTGACTGTGCCGTCCCATTACGACACCCTACCATCGAACCTGTGGCAGAACACCACCGAAGCGCAACTTTAGGCCGCGCGGCCTGGCCCTAGCGGCAGGCTAATACCACGTCAGCATTACTAGGGCACCCGCCCTCGGAACGCTTGAACCTTAACCAGTGTTCACGGTTGTGAAAAACCTTGGACAAGAGACGCCACGCCGGGTCTCACGAGTCCGTAGCGACCTAGAATTGACTCCGGTCTGATAGTTTCATTACTACTTATATGCATTGGATTTTAGCCTTGTATTTTTATGTCGAATTTCGACGCAACACTTGATCTCCTGTCATACGAATAGCTCAATTGATTTTGTACAAAACATTGTTGACGTGACGAGACGCGTGGGAAATTACACATAGATCCAACAATTATTGATAAGACTGAAATGAATCCTTACTTTACCCATGATAATTCTATCGAATCACCTTCATATACCTATTATAAATTTGTGTTCTTATTTTTATGTAAGTAGTTTAAAAGTCTCGCTTTTAATTACGTACAAATAACGGTACGTTTATTTTTTAAATGTAACTTTTACATTAAGTTTATCAGTAATTAGATAGAAGTTAACGATGTATACGCATTTGAACTTTTGTTTTTGCTTGAGTACTTGTAAACTTCTTGGGTTTTCTAAATTGATAAGTTAGTTTTTTTTTAGGTCATGAACATTAGTTTTAAGTTGGCACTAAGTTTAGATCTGTTAAAATAGTGTCCTGTAATACATTTAAGTGCATAACAAATATTATGTACGTTTCATTTTATTATATTTACAATACATATAAAAAAAATTGCAATGTTTGAATTACGGTGTTTAATTAATTATTAATGCTATTTGTATTTTTTTATTACTCTAATCGAAATTTTTTGATGGAATGTTATCTCACTTATTTTATTTAGGTATATGTACTTAGAATTATGTAGTCTCTAAATAGTACTAGTGGTTACTGTAGTACTGCCATGGAAAAATTATGGATTATACCTATTTGGAGTTATTAAGTATAGTGGTAGTTTACAGTGAGCAAGCGCTGTTTGATGTACGAGAAGTAGCTGTAATGATTGTTGAAAGGAAGAACAATCTCTTTTTTTATAATAAATATGAATTAAATAATAGTGTAAATTACTGTGTTTTATTTATATATAATATATCCCATATTCACAAAAAAATCTTCTGAATATGCAGGCACCTAGATTAGGTACGTAACCTATCAAAAGTTTATGGAGTGCACTTCTGCAAACCAAAAATTAATTTAAAAAAAGGACTTAGGTAATTTTAAATAACTTACTAGTATAATTATTTTTTATTTTTATTATTTTCTTTATTATTGTGACGTATCCCTGTTAAGTTATTACGAAATGAGTATAGAAAGAAGCACTACCCTTAATGTATGGAAATTCAGATTTATTACTTTATTCTACACTGTGCAATTAAATAAGTTTTAAAACATACAAAATAATATTCAAAGGATTAACGAAACTTTGTGATTTAATCATTTGATAGAATGTCTCGCCATTGCATTCTGATTTTATTCGCGTAAGTGTTCATGTAGTACTATATATTATGCGATAATTTAATACTTTATAATTTATTCGGAAAAAATCGGCTATGTTTAACCTGATAAAATATGGTCGTCTCATATAATTTTGGCACGGTTAAAATTACTATCGAGAAATGCTTCTAACTACACCATGCCCACGTGACCAGAATCATATATTCATTCATTTATGATTCTGATATATAATCATACCTTCCCATTATCATTCGTTAAAAAAATACTATACGTAGGAGGGGTAGGGATTCGCGTTGGATACTTGGTAGTCGTACAAACGGGAACCCGGGATCCAACATAAGCGCCTCGAGGTATGTCGTGTGGTTTTTAGTGGGTACGAATCCCACACACCCCAGCTGCCCTCCCTCCGGCAGATGGGACGGTCTTTCCGAAGATTTTCCACACGGAAAAAAAGGGATTGTTAGTCCCCTGTCAGGTCGACCTCCACGCGGACCCCTTAAAACCATCGTGGATAATTTCTGATGAATTCATCACGATAGGGCAATTGACTTGCTGTATATCGATAGCCATTCCATTATCATTCATTGAAAAAAAAATATTTACGATACGTATATATTACCAGAGGGAGACTGTACAAAAGTCGATTGCTTGGGTACCTCTGTTCCATTCGTATTTCAACCGTGAAGCAGCTGTGTTTGCATGTCTGTTTTTCGGTTTGAAGAGTGGAATATGGCGTGAATTTACTGGGTACAGAGGAATAACACCTGAGTCCTCAGGAATGGCAACGCATGGGGGGTATCATGGGCGAAACAGTATACTCTGTTATGTCCATGGTACCGCTCATGTCTATAGGCGACTGTTACTACTTTCCATCAGGTGGGCCGTCAGCTTGTTTGCCATTCTAAGTTGTATAAAAAAAATACAAAATATCATGATGATTGGTTTTTTTTTTGGTGAATGAAAATGGAATGGTAACCCGCCTGCGCTAACGGGATACGCTGGCGGAGCACCAGTGAAGGGTGATCGATGAGAATGAAAACAGGCCAGTTGGCCCATCATGATGAATTAATCAGGAATTAACCATGATAGTTTCCAGGGGGAACCGCGAGGAGGTCGACCTAGTTGGGTATATTGCTAGCAATGGGACTTTTAGTCTCCATTACTAACAATCCCTTTCCCCCCCATGATGATTGGTTGAACCTGTAAGAGTCACGAGGTAACATTCTAGTACAGGACAAGACACAAGAGGCAAACACACTTTATTCAGCGCTCAGCATATACGAGCTTTTAGAAAGTTTTTATCCGAGACAAGACCGTCAGACGTCTAGTTCATTACTATAGATTAATATCGATCAAATCGATCACCACGAAGGTTGCACTGTGTGTTCGTGATCTCTATTGAGCAATACAAACTAATCAAACAGGTAGGTATGTCTTATTTCGAAATTTTTGAATTTGGATACCAAAAAATTTAGTACCTAGGTATATCGGCATTACATAGCAATAGAATTATTGACGTTAGTTTGGTATCGTAGCATCTTTAAGAAAATTGTATTTTATTAAATAAGGGAGACTTTGTACAAAAGTCGTTTGCTTTGGCACCTGTGTCCCATTCGTGTTTCTACCGTGAAGCAATTGTGTTTGTATGGCTGTGTTTCAGTTGGAAGTGTGGGATATGACAGTGAATTCACAGGGTACAGAGGAAGAACATCCGAGTCCTCAAGAATGGCAACGCATAGGGGTATCATGGGCGAAATAGTATACTCCGTTATGTCCATGGTCGAAAGATAGTTTATAGGCGATTTTTTTACTTTCCATCTTGAATTGGGTTGTAAAGTTTTTAAAGATCCAATTTTTGTAAAAAATATAGATACATCTTATTCAGAGTTATTTATTTGTCAAATGATGAAAAAGTTTTTTAAGTTCTATAGATGGATGTTTGTTTATCTTTAACACAAAAACTACACACGTATTTGAATAAAATCCTAAATTAATACATAGGATATTTCAAATACTAATGCACGTGGACAAAATCGCGGGATACAGCTAGTCTATGATAATAATCTATAGTCACACACAGTTGCTAATAAATGGACAGATATATTCAACTACAACACTGATTGCAATATACCTAATTGATTGTAATAAAATTAAATAATATATTATGCGATTGCTCTTTAAGAAGGTAGGTATTATGCAAATATTTAGCAGTTGAACTTTGTATATGCACGAACAAAGTTTACGTTGAATATAGAACCATACTCGTATTTGCTTATACGTCAAATACAGTGTAGCAAAACGTGGGCGTAACACACTCCTTTATATCGTAACAGCTATACGTCGTAGCCATAAAATTGTTAAGCCCCTTGTTTATGAGAGGTAGTAAGATATATGAAAGCCTTAAACTAAATTACATTGGAATTATTTTGAGTACAGGGATGATCGTATGAGATTATTCATACTTACTTATAAGTCTGAGATTATACAGGGATATTATAGTTGTAGGGAAATTTTAATAATTATAATTATTAAATTTTGCACATTTGTATACTAAAATGTATGTTAATTTTGGTTTGCTACTAGACATTTTTATAATTCACGGCACCACAGTACGACACTACACGATTTTATACAAATACAAAGCCATGATAATAATAAATACTTTTGTCACTATATTGGGTTGGCTCGAAGATATTTCTTTCAGAGTTCACCTTTGCTCAGAGTAATTATAATTGCCTTACTTTTTAATTTTTTTTTTTTATACAACTTAGAATGGCAAACAAGCTGACGGCCCACCTGATAGAAAGTGGTAACCGTCGCCTATAGATATAACAGAACATGGGCATAACAGAGTATACTGTTTCGCCCATGATACTCCCCATGCGTTGCCATTTCTGAGGACTCAAATGTTATTCCTCTGTACACTGTAAAATCACGCCATATTCCACCCTTCAAACCGAAACACAGCCATGCAAGCACAGCTGCTTTACGGTTGAAACACGAATGGGACAGAGGTACCTAAGCAATCGACTTTTGTACAAAGTCTCGTTTTTTAGTTTTACTAGTTTAACAAGTGCAATAAAAAATAGGTATATAACAGTTCTCTCAAAGAGATATGGATCGAAAACCGAAATAAAATTATTAGACTATCAACTTAACACGACGCTTCCAGCTATTATAAGCTCTAAACTTTTTGTCATTTTTCGACATATGTTTCTTGTGAGAAAAATATTAATTTTTACTGGTAGATTACTCCCTTAAAAGGATACGCTAATGATTTTTATTTTACCTGTATATGTACATATAACGAATATGTCTACTTACATAACATAATAATGGCGAACACCTGTTGACCATTCATGTACACAAGTTAATTGATATTTCATATTAGGTATATCACAAACAGTACTAGCATATTCGTGTTCAACTAGTTCAATGATCGTAATATTGCATCAACAGATCAATACACTAGGCTCAATTCTGATGCGGCATTTCTCTAAATTTATCTCTTAACCTAATATTTTAATTTGATAGACTCGCGTAATGTATGGATCGATATAAACTTAATTTATAATAAGTTACTGGCAAAATTCCCCTTATGGTGGAAGGCCTATGTTCAATTCAGCAGCGGACAGTTAATGACTGATGTAATATAATAATAATAATTTGAATTCAACATGACAGGTGGAGAAACTACTGTCGTCTGTTTTTGGTTGTTTTGTTGTGTTGTTTGTTTTTGATTAATTATCTCTTACCTAAAATATTATCTAACTGTATTAAATGTTATTTTTTATATTTTTGCATATTCTAATAAGATTTTGCAGTTGTAAAAAATCCTGTAATTATTGATGATAGTTTAATAAAATCAATACCTGACTTCCTGACTGTTGCAATTTGGAAATCTTTTCTTTCTGCAAAATTTAATTAGCTTTATTAACGATGTTTTCAATTACTGACAATACAATGTTTTTGGTCTCAATCAGTTTGAATCAGTTGTTAAAAAACGTTGTGTCTAGTTCTATATGTAAACTGAAACATTATCTCCTTTTACTTTATTATATTTTTCTGTACTTTAATTTTTTTTTAATTTTTTTATTGGCGGTAGAATTTTAAAAATCGAAATGGCTTCTTATTTTTCTGCCTAATTGGCTAGTCGATACATTGGTGGCAATTTAGTTGCAATTTATAGTCTTTCCCCTTTGCATAGTGCACTCGGAAACAAGTGAGAGGTTTTTATGACCATGACTTACTTCATTGACGGATGGTGCCCCTGCCCGTGATACATACACGTCGTCGACGCATTGTCATACAAAACTCTGAGACGCTCGCACATACTCCTATCGCGATTCGCGTGTAAACGAACTTGATTACGACTTTTCTAGTGTTACAAATCGAATCGTACAATCGATTATGTACCGTTTGTGATATTGTGATTCGATAATATTTTTTTAAGGTAAGCCATTTTATAATTACCTTTTAATATTTCCTATAAATTTATAAATTTAACTGGAATACGGTGAACGTAGACTGAAATAGATACAATGTGGGGACGTCATGTGGTTTTGTTATGACAGTTATGATATGTCGATTATATTTGGTTTATAAAGAT